TTAAATGTTCTTCAAATACTTTACATATTCCTAATAAAATTAAATTTAAATTTAAAAAAAAAATTATTCAATATATTACCATCAAGACAATCATCAACAGATTCATAATCAGAATAAGTACGTGAATCAAGTTTATTTGTTGATTGAAGAAGAAGAATTGTATGTGACATTATATCTGCAAGAAAGAAAAATAAATTTTTTATTTAAACAGTAAATTTTAAACATCGTGTATCTTTATGTATATCAAGACATTTTAATGAACAATAAAGATTTCCACATATTTGACATGTATATTGAGATAAAAAACCACATACAGAACAAAGTTTTATAGATGGATATTTTGATGGTTTAGCTACAATAGTAAAATAATTTTTTTCATCATTCGATTTTTCACCATTAGAACCTAATTCTTCATCTAATAATGTTTGTAAATTTTTACGAAAACGTGTTTTAAATACATCATATTTAAATTGTATTTTACGACGTTTATTTGATGAATTCGATGTTGTTGTTGTTGTTGTTGGTTCATCAGATTCAAGAATTAATCCTTTAGAATGACGACTATAACCAAATGCAGATATATTACTAAGACTTTTAGCTATTTGTTCTTGAGTTAATGTTGGATCGAATGATGATGATGGTTCTGTTGGATCATCATGAAAATTATCTTGTTCAAGTGATTCAAGAAATTTTTGTGTACGACGTGCACGTGCTGATGCATCAAGAATACGAGAAGATGATGATGTTGATGATAAATTTTCTTTTGTCTGACGTGTTAACCTTTGTTGTGGCTGTTCCATTTGCTGAATTCAATACAAAAAAAAAAAAAAAAACAAACATTTTGGCTTTTTCCTTTCGTTGTCACTATATCGAACAATAACCAATTACAAATGCAGACATGTTGCGAGGGCGCCACTTATCAATATCGAGAAGCAAGTCCTTCATGTTGATGAATCGTCCGAGATTGAGTAAGACTTTTCTAGGTAGAATTGCGCATCTGTAAGATAAACACTTCTGTTTTTTTTTTCAAAGCTATTTTGTGTTATTTTAAACTCTTCGATACAGGATATATTAATGGATTGTACTTAGTTGAGAGATGGAATTGTGAAAGTAGGTACGTTGCTTAGACTTTTCTTTGTGAATGAATTCTTTATTTTGAACTTTATTATTTTTTTTATCATCTCGGTGACTTAATTTTTCTTAGTCATAGTCTAATGACAATTATGTCATAGTATTTTTTGCGTCAAAGATTCAAGAATTCTATTGATAAAGTTGTTTTTTTATTTTTCAAAATTTTAAATAGTGCGTGATGTCCAATGATAATTAAAACTCGATCATTCTCGTATATTCTCATTTCAATGACGATTTTTTTTTTCGAATTCGATTTACAATTTGACGAGCAAAAATTGTCTTGACATCGTCATTCAAAGATCTTTATGAAATACAAGTTCTACTGTAAGTATCAAGTGTGATATATAGAATGTAAATATCAACCTTATATATGATCCCTACCAAACACTTCTAGAAAATTCAATTTTCGAATTTCGATTTGAAGGTTTGTATAAAGACAAGAAGCCTTAACGCCAATAATTGTCTATAAATGTTTCAGATATTATTGCTGATCCTATTCCAAGATACAACTATGGTAATAGTATGTGTTCATACAAACCAATAGATTTCAAATTCTTATTTCAGATTCAAGTCGAAATTCGAAAATTAGTTTTTCTGGTGTTTCTAAGGGATCATGGCATTATAGCTCATTTGCATGTAGTCTCGATTGAGAAAACGATTTATCAACAGGAAGACTTCCCTCGCGAGATGTTAGATTAACACCCTAAGGAATATTTATTGTTTCAATGAGACGAGTACAAGTCAATAAATTTTTTTAGAGAAAATTTAACAGCAAAATTCAATTGAGAATAGTCAGAGAGCAGAGACTTGTGTGATGAAACTCGAATATAAAAGATTTTGTCGTGAAGTTTCTTTTTTCTCTTATAATTCAATAGAGAAAATCATTTTATAACTGATCATCTCTACGAAAAAAAAAATACTAAATGAATATGACCTGTAGTTTCAATAAAATTATAAAAACTAGTAAAAAAAATTCTTTTTTTTAAATCAACATAACTCCAATATATTATCAAAGAAAAATACATCTCAATGATTTATTCTGACACTGATATCCATTTGTTTATGGATAGAATAATGCATTAATGCACTTAGAATTCGATGAATCATTTGTTTTTGAATTATAAATTATAAGAAAAGATATTCTATCCAAATTCGAAGAATAAATAAGTAATTTTAAATTGAAAAAATTTCATGGGAGGACAATATTATCCAATCATGGTAATTAGTCAGCTGTCAAAGAAAATCAATCAATGCATCAGAAAAGATCTAATTCCGATTATGTAAAAAAAAAAATTGTTTTCAGTCATCAAATATTTATTAGAAAAAAAAAACATATCAGATTTTATTCTTTTATAAATTATAATCACTTTTTTTTTAAAAATATCTGTAGTAATTATTTAAAAGATCTTTTTTTAATTACTTATATTGACTCGTGAGAATTCAATTTATAAAAGAAAAATTATTATTTTTATAGATTATTATCATGGTATGAATTCTTTGAGTCATACTGAAATGAATGTAGATTTTATTTTTCACAAATTAAAAAAAAAATGATATGGTGTGAACATTATTCATTATGTTTTCAATCAAATTCATTGTTATCTTATTTCATATAACGATTATATCAAAACAAAAAAATAAATAATTGAAATATTTATAAGTGAGTGAAAGTTTCGTAATTCAATATTAATAAATAAACATAAGAAGACTTTCATCGTTAGAACGATTCCTTTTATGAAGAATTTGTCATGTAAATAAATCAAAATGATATAACAGTTTTTTCTAGTTGATACATACGTTCTGAAATTGTATCATTTCGAAAATATTTTCATTTAGAATTATTATCGTAATAATCTATTAAATTCCTTTAATATCATTATATTCATATTGTCAAATACATCTTCAAAACATAATTTCTTTTTTTCCTAATGTTAATATGTATGTAATACATCATAGGAAGCGGCAAATAGCATTTTATTCATCGTTTCGTCTATTTAATTGCTATATTAGCTTGTTATACACATTAATTTAATTACTTCAATAAGCTTCCGAGTGCATAATCTTTTCTCTCGACGAACTTTGACATATATTATTGAGTTTTATCTAAACTTACAATTGAATTAGTTCATACTTTTCTATATCCAACTCTACTAGGTCAATAATACTATCATATACATTTACAATAAGATCCTTTCGTTGCATTAAATATTAAAACCTGTACTAGTTAGAATCATAGATTTTATAGAATGATTCTAGAAAATAATCTAAACTTAATGACTTTTGAGTTTTCTTAAGTCATCCACAGTTACTAGGGTTTAGAAGGAGAGGATTACAAAAACTTCGATTTAAACTTACACTCACTATGTTTCACGAAAAAATATAACGAAGCTTCTCGGGAAATTTTTGTGGTCGCACTGTAGAGTTCAATCCACGCCCGCTCATGATCAAAAATTCTGGCGCTACTGCTAATAGCAAATAAATGCTTACACTTGAGATAGTCTCACAACATTACACCTAACGAATACGTATGATGATAGAGATAGACAGACTTCGATTTAAATTGAAGCTTCACTCATATATTATATATAGTGGCTTCCAGAATTATTTTCAATTTTTTTCTCAACAAGAACTTAATAATTACCAGTTTTTCTAACGACAGAATCTCTGAAAAATAAGTTTTTCAGCTCCTATAATTTGCAAATAGAATAGAATGATAGAGGAAATGATTTCCTACAAAATAAAATATTTACCAGCTCTTTACAACATTTTTTTGATCGAGATACATCGATTTTACGACTTTTTATACCTTCCTTAAAGTTGACGTGTCTTTATCAAAAAACATCGGAAAATGTTTCATTTAGTAGAGAATCATTTCCTCTATCATTCTACCCTATTGGTAAATTCTATAAACTGAAAAACTTATTTTTCAGAGATCCTATCATTGAAAAACTAGTAATTATTAAGTTCTTATTGGAATCTATATTTATTTGTGACTATTGTCTTGTTTCATATGACATTTGATTTTTCGAATTGATATAGTAGGAAATGAATAAATTATGCAGAGAACACAATCTATAAAACTTTGTATTTAATATTCCAAAAAAAAAAAGCTCCATTATCTTGTCTTTCTTCGAATGATAAAAACAAAAGCTTATTATCATTTTTTGCATTTTTCTCTATTTTGATGAACAGAATTACTTTATTGATGTTTCTCAAGCAAAATCTTTTCCGCTGTCAATTTCATTTTCATTATAAATTGTCAAATATTTTACACTGTGAGATTAATCTTTTGTTGTTTGATCATAGTAAATGAAAAGAAGGATCAACATGAAAGATTAGAACAATCTATTATCTATTGAATAAGGAAGAAAAAAAAAATGATCAGAATAATCCAGGAAATTCATCTCCCACTAGAAATGATTAAATGAATATAGAAAAATTCAAATCAAGCGATTACTAACTCATTTAATAATTAAATTAAGTTAGTAGATTAGACGATATTTTTTATTTTTATAGATAAATATTCGAGAAGACAGTAGATCTGTCTAATAATATTTTATTTAATAAGACTTATTGAATTTTCTCATAATATTTAATATGAAATCAGTAATGCATGCTTCTAAAATGTCATGGTCACTGAATTATGTACATGCTGGTTTTAGTATTAATGAATCCGTAGTATCTAATGTATTGATGATTATGTTATTCATTTTGAAACTTTTATATATTAATTTCTTTTTTATTTATTAAAGAAATAAAATAAATGCTTGGCTTTTTTTTTCTCTTATGTCTAAATATAGAAGAGATATTTTTCTCTCTTTTCTTCGAAGTAAAATAGCTTGTAATTATTTGTTACTCTGATATATGGAAATATTTGTGATCAGAGAAAGTTTTTCTTTTCCCTTCCTCTATCTCCATTTTTCTGTTATTGAGTGTCAACAACGTTGATAGATCTTGTCAACAAGCGATGAACGAACATACTCATGATCCATTTGTTCTTGCATCTTTTTTTTTTCTTCTTCTCATTTTTCTTTTCTCTATCGTTTTGTTCATTTGCATTTCTGAGCAAAAAAAAAAAACTAATAATCTTCAATCACATCGTCATTCATATCTTGTTTTTTTTTTCTATATTCGAAAATCGTATTTTCTTTATTTTTAAGATCGTACGACATCACATCAAAACAAGATGACGTCGGTCAAAGTGGCCGTTCGTGTACGACCATTTAATACACGTGAAAGAAATCGTCAAGCTAAATGTATTATTCGAATGGATCCAAAAGAACAAACAACATTTATACGAAATCCTATTGATGATACAGTTAAACATTATAAATATGATTATTCATATTGGTCATGCGATGAAAATATAAATAATCAAAAATTTGCTACACAAGAACAAGTTTATCAAGATTTAGGAATTGAAATGTTAGAACATTCATTTGAAGGATATAATGTTTGTATATTTGCTTATGGACAAACAGGTGCTGGTAAATCTTATACAATGATGGGTAAAAATGAACCTGAACAACAAGGTGTTATTCCAAGATTATGTGGTGATTTATTTGAACGTATAAATTTATCATCACCATTATCATCATCACCTTCATCTTCTACTTATATAAAACCACGTTATACAGTTGAAGTATCATATATGGAAATCTATTGTGAACGTGTACGAGATTTACTTTCACCAAAAAAATCTCATACAACCGGTGTTGGTAGTTCACATAATTTACGTGTTCGTGAACATCCTATTATGGGACCATATGTTGAAGATTTATCTCGTTTACTTGTTACATCTTATGATGATATATCAAGATTAATTGATGAAGGTAATAAAGCTCGAACAGTTGCTGCAACAAATATGAATGAAACATCAAGTCGATCACATGCTGTATTTACAATATTATTTTCTCAATCAACATATGATTCAATAACAAATTTAATTGCAGAAAAACAATCAAAAATTTCATTAGTAGATTTAGCTGGTAGTGAACGAGCTGATTCAAGTGGTGCAACAGGTGATAGATTAAAAGAAGGTGCAAATATTAATAAATCATTAACAACACTTGGAAAAGTAATTGCAGCACTTGCTGAAATGGTTTGTAATTTATTTGAATTAGAAAAAAACAAAAGAATCCTTCGAATTTATTTTAGAGTTCAAAACATCGTAAAACACGTTCAGAAAAAAAACCAGATTTTATACCATATCGAGATTCGGTACTAACATGGTTGTTAAAAGAAAATCTTGGTAAGATTTATCATTATACAGTTATTTGCTATAGTTGAAGAATATCGGAGAATCTTTTCATGATCTTTGACTATCGAAATTGATATCATCAAACTTGAATATTAGTTGTGTCGGTGTCTGAACAGACATATGCTAAACTATGGGGTGAAAGTATTGACACAAAATATTCATTCATTTTTCGGTCACTTAAAGATAACGCTGGTTACAGTCAAAAGCAGTTTGTTAAAATAAAGTTTTTTCGCACTTCCCGATTTCCTTTTGAGATAAGGTTGTTTCAAACTAATGCATTGTACAGTAAATTATTCTGGTCAATTTTGTATTTCGATTGAAATCTATCAAATCCAAAATGCGAAACAATTTTTAATAACTCACTTTTGTAAAACGAAGTTTACTCTTCAGAGCGTGTTATTTACTTTTATATTTTTAAAAGTAATTTTTTGACTAACACCAAATTCCACAGCTATTCCTAGGTACAAACTATGTAAAATCAGGATTACATTAAAATTACTATTTGTATTAGAGAGACATAATTTTAGATTTTTTCATGAAATTTACTGATGAATGTTCCATCTTACATAGAACATATCAAAAGTAGTGATTTTAACAGATAAAAGCTCACAGGAAAGAGTTAATTAAGTTTTTGTTCTAGCAAGTACAGGGGGTGGTTCAAACGCTAGTTTACCGAAAAAAATAAAATTGAATATCTCCACTACGACTTGAGCAAACGAGTTGTTTTGTTTTTTTGTTAATAATCGAGGCATACTCAAGCTTTATATTCATAAAGACATGTCTAAAGAGATCCTTTGTTAAGTATATTGTTTTTTTTTCTATCTCTGAAAAAGTAAGATTGTTTTGTTGAGATCAATTGTGATGTCTAACAAAGGGTCTCTATAGGCATCTCTTTATGAATATAAACCTTGAACATGCCTCTATCATCGATATAAAAAAAAAGAATCAGCTCCTTTGCTCGAGTCGTAGTGAAGGTATTCAATTTTTTTTTTTGGTAAACTGACTTTTGAGCTAGTAGCCATGTTTAGTTACGCACAATTGATTTTTTAGAAGTATTTTTCAAATAATCTTTAATTAAAAAATTCATCATCTCAGTTACAACACTCAATACAACAATTAACAACTATTTAGTTCAATCAAGCTTTGTTGGACATGGCTGACTATAGAAATACAGCGAATAATAGTAGGTAACAAACGATGATGAATTTTTATAATCAAAGATTATTTGAGAAACGTCTTCAAACAAATTGCTTATGCATGATTAAGTGTAGTGACTAGGTCATATACTTACGGAAGTAAAAACTTAATTAAATCTTTCCTGTGAGATTTCATCTGTCAGAGTCATTATGCCTTAAGTACTATAGAAGGAAAATTTCAACATAGATTCGGAAATAACAAATAATTCTTTTTCTAAATAACTACTTTTGACTTTAACTAATTGCTTCTTAGTGACTAAAAAATGAGCAAATATTTCGTGCCAAGACTTTCGAATTATTCTATATTATGTAAATCTTTTAAAGATATAATGAAAGAATAAATTTTTGAATGATTTTACTATCAATCAAATAAGAATTAGTCATAATAAATATATATATTATCTTTTTTTAATATAGGTGGTAATTCTAAAACAGCTATGATAGCTGCAATATCTCCAGCTGATATAAATTATGAAGAAACTCTTTCAACTCTTCGTTATGCTGATCGAGCTAAAGCAATTGTTTGTAAAGCAGTTATTAATGAAGATGCTAATGCTCGACTTATACGTGATTTAAAAGAAGAAATAATGAAATTAAGAGAATTATTAAAACATGAAGCTGGTATTGATTTATTACCTGATGGTACATTTTCATCAATAACAAATATTTCAAAAAATTCACGTCTAAAATCAACATCATCACAAAGTAGTGAAGATGCATTAGAACGTTTAAAAGAAAATCAAAAATTAATGGATTCATTATGTATGTCATATGAAGAAAAACTTAAAAAAACAGAAAAAATTATGGCTGAACGGTAAAGAAAAAAAACATATATATATATTTATGTGTATTGTTTTAATTATGATTATCTATTTTAAGAGAAGCCGCTTTTCATGAACTTGGTGTTTATTCAAAAAATGATGGAAATGCTGTAGGAATATTTTCACCAAAAAATGTAGGAATTTATAATTAATCTATATAAGATCATTCATAATTGTTTATATTTCAGTCTTCACATCTTGTTAATCTTAATGAAGATCCATTAATGTCCGAGTGTTTAATGTATTTTATTAAAAATGGTACTACTCGGTAAGAAAAATTTGAAATAAATAGAATATAAACAATCAATTGTCTATCGGGAGAAAGATAATTTCAAAAGAGTTAAATAATACATACTATATTCGATTTCATATGTTCATAAAATTCATAGATGAAGTATTGAGAATAGATTATCATACTCATACTAATAATTCCTTAATATCTGATTAAGATCGAGGTGATTCTCTCTCTCTGATTTGATAGTTTCGTATTAAATTAAAGATATTGTAAAATTTCATCAAATATGCAATTGCAAATTGTTTTAGATAACATAACTCATAAGCTGTGCAGCCGTGAAGCTAGAGTGAGCTTTAACATGTGTTTCTTGCTCGATCAGATTGACTCCTACATTGCCAATCACTTGAAGTAGTACTCCTTGGCAACAAGTGCCACAAACTCGGTTTAAATAGCCGAAAAATTTTTTCGCCTTCAATAGCTAACAGAGGAATCTTGTCAGCTGTACCTTTGTGGTTTCAATGATTTCTTACATATTGATACTACAGAGTGTTCTAATAAAAATCCTAAAATAATTTGAGTTCTTAGTAATAGTTGACTAAGTTATCAAATTTTTTTTTCTAGAGGTTTCAAATTTTCGAAAAACTCGTGTTTTCAAATTTTGATCTGAAATCTTTCGCATATAGAGAAGTCAACTAGACTAACTTCAATAAAGAAAAGGGAATTCGGAACTTCGCCAATAAAACTTTCGCCATTGGCGAACTTCTTCCTACTCAAAAAATATTCACAGGTTTTGAAGAAAGTCTTTTCAAGATATAGATCCTTTTGCATGGATAGTACATAAAAAATGAATTTTTTGAAAATTTCATATCTCGGAGAAACTTTGTTGAAAAGTTGTGAATTTTTTAAGAAAGCTAGTCTAGTTGAATTCTCTATATGCGCAAAGTTTCAGACGAAAATCCAATAGCTTTGTCAATCTATAATATAATAAAGTCCGTTATTAATATCTATGAATAAAATTCATTTCTAATTTTTAGTGTCGGTCGTCCTGATGCACCTATACATCAAGATATTGTTTTGTCTGGTTCACATATTGAACCTGAACATTGTATAATAACAAATTCACAACATATTGTTCATTTAAAACCTTGTAGTCAAACAGCAATGTGTTATGTTAATGGAAAAAAAGTTGATTTTGATACAACTGTTGAATTAACATCTGGATCTCGTGTTATATTTGGTAAATCTCATGTTTTTCGTTTTCTTAATCCTGAACAAGCACGACGAAGAAATACTAAAACAGACTCAACTGGTGGTATGTCGATTAATTTCTTTTTCTTTTTGAATAGTAAATTTTTCTTTTAAAATCTAGAACCAACTGATTGGAATAGTGCAATACAAGAATTATTAGAAAAACAAGGTGTTGATATAAAACATGAAATGGAAAAAAAGTAAAAAAAATTCTTTTTTTTATCTTATTAAAGAAAATATTTTCTTTTTAATTATTAAGACTCGTAACAATGGAAGAAGCATTTAAACGTGAAAAAGAAGAAGTTGATCGTCTTTTACAAAAACAAAAACTTGAATATGAATCTAAAATAGTTGAATTACAAAAACAAGTTATGGAAACATCAATGAGTCAATCAATGCTTTCATCTATTTTATCATCATCTGGTTTAATTGATCCATCATTATGTCAACAAAATACACTTCAAGAAGATCTTAATGAAACTGATAATGATACAGGTAGTTGTAAGTTTTTGTTTTAAATAATTAAAACTAAACACAATTTAAATTTAGATTGTTCTTGGTCAGAACAAGCTTATCAATTAGCTTGGTGGGCATGGAAAAAATGGCGTTTTCATCGTATGACATCATTACGAGTAAGTTTTGTTTATTTTTTTTGTTGTTGTTGATATTCGTTGGAATATATTTCTTTTATTCAAATATAATTCTTTTATGAGACAATAGTTTTACTCATTCCCCTTGAATAGGATTATTCAAATCGTATTCAGCCCATTTGGCTAATCAAGGTATAAGTTTTCTTTTTTTTTTTTTTTGACTGTTTATATTCATGTATGTCTTATTTCCTATCGATGTTGTTTTGAAAATTTACATAAAAAAATCAATTGTTTCTTTTTTTTTATTTTTTGTAACAATGATAATTGAAATCATGAGTTAAGTCGTTGTCTTTTGTTTATTGTATGATTTTATTTCCTTATTTGTTGTCGATCCATAAGTATTTGCATGAAAAACATGATTTTTAAAATTTATTGAAAGAATTATAGATTAGAAGTATGTAATATTTTAGTGTTAGGTAACAAACAAAGACGATAATAACTAATGAGGAAATATTTCCAACTGTTGGACACCGTTCCATCTGATATTATTACTACGAGTTGACCTCTGTGTGATTAACGAGGGAATCACTCGAGGTTATACTTAGCGTTTGAGATGAGACCTCAGTCATTACGTAGGACCTGTTGAGACTAGAAAAAACTTAGAAGGATTCTTCTTCGTGCGCTGCTATTTAGGAATTATGGCTGTTACATTGGATTTTTTACCTTCGGCAAGATATTTATAGAAAAAAGCTGGATAAACAAGTTTTAGACCCGAATCACATGTCCGGTTTTTTTAAAATAAATACCTTGCCAAAGATAAAAAAATCTAGTGTAACGGTTATAAATTCAAGATAGTACAGCCCGGGGAAGAATGCTTTGAGGTTTCTTCTGATCTCAACAAGCCCTACGTAGTGACTAGAGTGTCATCTCAAACGTGAGATTTCACTTCGGACAGTAGCAACATGTCAGGACAAAATTCTTCATTTTGATATTTTCGGAAATGTCTTGCTCTGATAAAACAGTCATCACTCTTAACCAGTAGATCATGAACTCTAATCTTTTTAAATTATTCTTAGCCTTACGTAGATCAACTCATATATCAGGTGGAATGGCATCCGATGGTTAGAGATATTCTCTCGTTAGTGCAGATAAATAGAATTGTATGATTCATATTGGCATGTTTTTTGTAAATATGTTCAGTTAATAGATGAATGACAGTAACTACTTAATAATCAAAATTTTTCTTAGTTTAGATTAAAGTAAACTTGATTTTATGAGACGTTTTACTAGAAAAGTAGTTCTTCAAATATTGTCATACGATTATTGACCATATGTTGCTTTTTCGAAGAAGTTAATGATGATCAAGGGTATAAAAATTTAAACACTATCGATTAGTGTCATTAGTAATAGAAATCAATCAAACCTATTCCCACTAACTACATCCAAAATTTTATTATAGAATTACAATATGACGGCTTTAATTTCTATCGTTTATTACTAATGAAGTAGACTACTTTTTTTTTTATAGCCGAAAAAAAAACAATGCTGCTATCCATTAAACATATTTTCAGTTTGATTATTCTGAGTTGGGTAATTCATTTTTTTTTGTTAACAAAAAAAAAAAGCTTATTGTATAATCCGAAAAGCATGCAAATATACAAAATTCGGCTTATATAAATAAGCTAGAAGGACAACATGAATTTATAAAAGTCGATTGTAAAACCATGATTAGAAAATTCAATGGGCTTCAATAGAAGAAGAAAAAAAAAGGTGTGATCGAAAAAAAAATTTCTTGTCATATCATGAAAATAATTCCATTTATTCAATCTAATGAAATAAGAATATTGGTATTATTTTTCATTGTTTTTTCTTTTTTTTTGTATATTTGATTTTTTTGCAAAAAATAAAAACATTTGTTTTTTTTTTTGCGAATTTTAGGATCTTTTATGGGGTAATAGTGTTTATTTAAAAGAAGCTAATGCTATAAGTGTTGAATTACGTAAACGTGTTCAATTTCAATTTGTTCTTTTAACTGATACACTTTATTCTCCATTACCAAGTGATTTATATCCATCATCATCATCATTATCTCAACATACAATTGTTGCTATTGAAGTACAAGATTTAAAAAATGGTGCTGTACATTATTGGTCATTAGAAAAATTTCGGTAAGTTCTATTTGAATGATGAATTAGTCAAAATATTTTCCTGAAAATAAAAGATCTCAAAGAAAAAAAAAAAACAAATTTTTTTCACTCCGATAAATTCAAACTAAAATATAGATCTCGTCTGGAAATTATGCGTCATATATACAATTGTGAACAAATTTCAATACCACGTGCAATTAGTTATAATGATATGAGCGATTTTTCATCGCAACATATTGTTATGACAAATGATTCACAAAATTCAAGTTTTGATGATACAACTCCATATTCAATATCTAAAGAAAAATTTGATTTTTCGGTTAATGCCAGGTTTGTAAATGCATGTCATCGTGTTTTTAATAGTTGTTGCCCTTCTATAGATATTGTAATAAAATAAAATAAAAGAAATGAAATTAGTTATAATGAATTTTTTGTTTTATATAGACAACGACTTGAATTAATGCGTGAAATGTATTCAAATGCAGCTGATATTTCACCAACATCACCTAATCGAAGTATGGATTCGTTGACAACTGATGCTATATCAACAGCTACTATTCAAGCAGATCCATTTTATGATCGATTTCCTTGGTTTCGACCAATTGGAAGGTAAAATATGATTTAAAAGAAGTATTGCAGTAGGAATTTGAATTTTCTCTTTGACAATTTTAATGTTTGAAAAAAAAAACAGATTTTTTTATGTTTTCTCACGTGAGAAATAGTCCCATTTCGAGCCTTATTTCACATTTTAATCCCACAAGGATTGCCTTAACAATTGTTTTTTTTTGTTTAGGGCATTTGTTTATTTGACTAATCTTCTTTATGGTTTATCGTTAGAACAAAATGTTGCTATTGTATCTGAACGAGGTGATATAAAGGGTTATTTAAAAATTTCGGTACAACAATTACAAACATCAGTATCATTATCAACAGAAGAAACAACAAATGAACAAATTAAATTAATGAAAACATATAAAAATGCTAATGGATTAACAAAAATTGTTTTCGATGATGCAACATATTTTCAAGTAAATAGAAGTAGTATTCGAATATGATGAACCAAATCTCAATTCTGTGAATGAGAAAATCATATTTTTTTTTAATTAAACTAATTCATTCAGATGAATCAAATGTTTGAAATTCAAAAAATCCTATTTTCAGACAAACTATTATTTTTATTAATATTTAAATAAAAAAAAAAAACATTTCATTTTCTCTAGGATTTGAAAAGTTCATCTTCAATTGATTTAATTAAATCAAGTGATTCCTTAGATATTAATCTTCGTTATGTCGAAGGACAATCACAATGTGGTCTTAATGATCTTCTACAACAAAAATCTACTAATGATTCTTTATCTTCATCTATACCAAATAGTAAGTATACACCACTGACCAAAAGTACTTCCCCCTCCACGGGATCTTAGTCTCTATGAGAGTTAAAACTTCGTTCTACTAACCATTAAACAAGCGGATATCAGGGCACGTAAATCTATGGAAAAATTTCATTGGTCAGTAATGGACCAATAGGAGGAAAGTCCGCTGAACATTTTGAAGGTAGCTTTTAGAACGCTTTTTTCGTTGGATTTTAAACTTCAATTAAACCATTCGATAGAAAAAATTGTTCTCGTTCAATCTACACTAAGTCGAGCTCGATAGCTATAAGGATTTTCCTGAGACCTCCAAAATCGGTCAGGTGGCGCAGAATCACCCTTAAAAGCATTAGATTATAGGTAATCGACCACGCTAAATTCAGCGGTGATGTTTGTTTTTCATTTCAAAGTAACCTGAGACCATTATAAAAAAAGTTTTCGTAAATCTAGTTTTTGCTACTATTCAGCTTAAAGAACACACATATTGAAAATCTTGATAGTGATCTCAAATTACTTCGAAAAACAAATAAACATCATCACTGAATTCAGCGTGATCGATTACCTATAATGTTGTTCTTTTAAGGGTGATTCTGCTTCACCTAACCGATTTCGGAGGTCTCAGAAAAATTCTTATAGCTACCGAATGGTGCAAGCTATTGAGCTCAACTTTGTGTAGATCGAAAGAGAACAATTTTTTCTATCGAATGGTTTAATTGAAGTTCAAAATCCAACGAAAAAAGTGTTCTAAAAGCTACCTTCAAAATATCCAGCGGACTTTCCTCGTATTGGTCCACTACTGATCAATGAAATTTTTTCATAGATTTACGTGCCCCGACGTGCGCTTGTTTAATGGTGAAAATCGCAGCTTCATAGCTGCTTCCGTTTCCGAGTTATTCGACTCTCAATCAGTCGCCTTCTGTTTTGAAATGGATAGTAGTTCGAGTGCTGACGCACATTGTCTATCGACTACCCTGCAAAAGAATTATCAGATGTTTATCTCTTATAGAGACTAAGATCCGAGAAATGAAATACTTTTGGCTAGTAGTATAAATTTTAACTTTCCTTTTTTTTTTTGTGTAACTATTAGAAGAAATATCAACAATGACTACAAGTGATGTTCTATCAAATGAATTCTTACAACAATTTGGTGTTGAATATCAATTTCGTGTAACAATATTAGAAGCATCACAAATTCCATTGGAATATGAAGATATTTTTTGTCAATTTAATTTTCTTCATCAACATCATGAAGCATATTCAACAGAGCCGATTAAAAATCCAGGCAAATCTGGTGTATCACTTGGTTTTTTTCATATGCAAAATGTAAAATGAAAACGAAATTTAATTTTGAAATAAATATAAAATTTCCGTAAAAAATTTTTCTAGTTCAGTGTTATTGTTACTCGTTCATTTGTTGATTATCTTCGTACAAAACCAATTGTTTTCGAAGTAATGGGTCATTATCAAGAATATTCAAATCCAACACTTCACAAGTAAATTTTATTTATTCAATAGAATTTTTTTGACTTTTTTTTCTTCATGAAATTTTCTATTTGATTTAGCATAATAACAACAACAACGAATTCACCAAAAGCTACTGTAGCAGTAAAAGCTTTTTCGAAACCGATACCTGCTCAAACATTAAATCCAATGACAGCTGTCGGGTTAGTGAATACATTAATTTAATAATGTTTACTCACGTCTAATCGAGTAACTCACAAGAGAAAAAACATTCTTCGCTTGACCTCATTGCTATACTTTCGATCGTGAAGAGTATAGAATTCCTGCGAACCATATTGAAGTGTTGTCCATAGATGGACTTGATAATCATTAGAAAGTCTTGAAACACGAGCATTTCTTTAAAATGCAAATATCTTGATAAAGATGTTCTTGTTCTAGTTCAAACTTTGAAGTATTTCTAATGAATATAAGAACCATCTATTAACAAAATTTTAGCTCAAAATTTGATTATCATATTCTCAGCGCTCCTATGTTCATAAGACAGAGTTTGAGTAAAGCGCTCATAACTCAGCAAGCGAAGATCAGAAAACTAAATCTAAATATACTTTTTCACTACCCTTCAAGACCGAAAGAATAGCGATAGTCTCAAGCAAAAAGCGATTTGACAGTTAACAGTTTTTCTTTTTTACACGAGTCATACTGGAAAAATTCGAATAGCATCCTTGATCAAAATGTCACAAGAAATATATCCAACTGTGATAGATTGAAGCCTAGGAAAGGAAATAAAAGAGTCGACAGAATATTCGATTTCATGATCGAAGTATAGTTTTTAAAGTATTGATTTTATATAGAAGTACTTTTCCAATTCTGATTATTCAAATGATATCATTTCAAAAAAGAATAGACTCAATTGTTTGTTGAATAACTCGACAGCACTGATAACTATTGAGCTCGGATTTTTGCCATTAGAAAGAGCATGAATGAGGATACAAGTCTACCTGAAAATCAAAATACTTGAAAAGTTTTCTAGGGACTTTTTGGAAAATCTCCGGAATCGCCTAGAAAACTTTTCAAGTATTTTGATTCTCGCGTAGATTTATACTCCTACTCATACCGACGAAAACTCGAGCTTGATAGCTATCAATGTTGCCGAGTTATTCAGCAAATAATCGAGTCTATTCTTTTTTGAAACGAATAATAGGTCTCTTTCTATATGAATTCAATAAAATCTTGATATTCAGTGGCTACTAAAATTTTTTCATGAAGTTCACTATCAATTGTTTTCCTAAAGAAATTAAGTAGTCATTTCAGTGGTGACAACTATATACAACAAGAAATATAATTACTAGATTTCGAAAGTTAGGAATCGTCAGAAAATCAAGTCCTCATTTTTTCAGCACCTAGAACTGGCTCAGACTACACAAAACGATACAGCAAACAATGCTCTACACAATGAAACGTCTCCGAGATATAGCAATCTTATGTAAGGTCTTGAAGTCTTTTGCTACTATTTTCTATGAATTTTCAGTTGGAGTGTTGTATTTCAGTGAAAAAAATTTCGTATAGAATTCAGAGACATCTCATTTTGTAGAGTATCGTTTCTTGTAATTTGCATTAAAATTATATTTGTATGATCTTGTTATTAAAACAAATGAAGAATTTAATTTTCTATCGTCTTTTTTTTAAAATTCTATTTCTTAGTACAATAAATCAAGTTCATGCTATTCATGATCTTGTTGTTTGGTATGAAATTTTTGAATTATCACCAAATGGCGAGTAAGTTCTATTTTTATTTTTATGTTTTATCGATAATCTTCATCAATTATTTATATAGATATGCTGCTGTAACAGTTGATCATTCTTATAATATGCCATGTTCTGGTCGATTTATTCTTCATCAAGGTATTCAACGTCGTATTGGAATAACATTATGTCATGAAACAAATACTGAACTTATTTGGAAAAATGTTCGTGATGTTGTTATTGGTATGTAAACAATCATTTAAAAGTAAAATAAATATTATTTTATTTTTATTATTAATTAGGTCGAATACGTAGTCAACAAAATTCTGTATTTGATGAAACTGATGGTCAAACACTTTCATTAAATATAATATCATCTCATTATATTCAAAAACAACATGATGAACGAACATTTTATCATTTTGAAGTTGCATGGGATTCATCATTACATAATTCATTATTACTTAATCGTTGTACATTAAATGGAAATTCAGTTTATTTAACAATATCATCATATATTGAAATAGAAAATTCTATTCAACCAGCTATAATAACAAAAGATTTTTGTCTTATTTTATATCCACGTAGTGGTGATTCAACATCACGTATACGTTCATCATTAAAAAATTTTTTTCTATCATCTAATTCCATAACACGTTCATTAACAAATGATGAACATTCAAATTGTATATCTGCTATTTATGAATTAAAATTAAAACATACTTCAACATTAAATATAATAACACAAAATTTTTCAAATATAAGTCCTGGTTTACAACGACGACAAAGAAAAGTTATTGATACATCAAAAATTTATGTTCGTGGGGAAGAAATGTTACATGGTTGGAGACCAAGAAGTGATTCATTAATTATTGAACATCAACAAGATTTAGAAAAATTATATAAAATTGAATGTGTATGTTTAATAATTGAATAACAAAAAAACGATATATTTTTTTTATTTTGTGAAACAATATAAAAGTAGGAAAAGTTTGAACCCTCCACTATCCATACCATGACCAACGCGAGGAAGAGACTGTCACAGGCCATGACAGACCCTAGTGTAGGGAACTGCGGGTCCACGCTTTTGTGGATCCGAACCCCAATCGGGTCCAAACCCGAGATTTTTTCCATAAATATCTGACACCCTTCATGTATATGAACAAGTGAACGATCAAGGTTTTAGCTATTTTTTCGCTACTCTCAGAAAAAAAACCTCAACGTACAGTTAATTCTTGTTGTTGTATTTCTCATCTGTGGAGCAGCGGGTCCACAAAACCGTGTAACCGGGCCCAATAAAAAGTCAAAACTTGGACTCAGACCCGACAAAAAAAAATAAAACTTTGGACCCGGATCGGGTCCGAGTCTGAAAGGATCCACAGTTCCCTATCCTAGTGAGAGGCCATGGCTAGAGCCCATTGGGTCCAAGAATTTTCAGACCCGGCCGGTAAAGTTTTTTTGAATCCGGAACTGGATCCGAGTCTGATTAATTAATCTTTTGTGGGAAGAGCCTATCGGGTCCAAAAATTTCTGGACTCGAATCGACCCAGATGGACTCTAACCGTGATAGATGCTCGAACGATATCATCACAGGCCACGATAGACCCTAGTTGCAGACCATGACGAATATTGTTGATAATATACGATTAAAGGCTGTATATCAATAACGTCTATTTATAATTCCTTATTGCATTTCTCGATGATTAAGTAAAATGATGGTGAACCCATGCATCGTAAAACAGATAGAATGAAGCAATCGTGTTTCGTAAGGATTGAGTAGCCATCTTTTTTTTTTGTTAATTAGGTTGAACATACAAGACATGTTTTACAAGTTAAAGATCGCCTTAAAAATTCTACACAATCATCAAATGATATATCATTAGAAAAAATTCAAACTTCAATAAATGATTCAAATGTTTCATTTAATGATCATCAACAAGAATTACTTCGTCGTTGTTTAACAATGATGGTACCTTCAATACCAGCAATAACAAAATTGACTGCGCCCGAAATTGAAGTAAAAAGAAAGATTGATACAAAAATTTAATAATCTATTTATTCAATAGGTAACAACCGATCGTCGTCTTTCATTGGATGATACTCGTGCTATTCATTCATTAGTGAAATCTTCATCAGTATCTTCAATTAGTGCACAACCATTACACATACACACAACAAATACTATGAATTCTTTTAGTGGTTTGGATCTTTCAAAGTAAATGAAAGAATTAAACTGCGAATAGTTCTATAATAAAAAACAGTCATCATAATGGAGAAATTATTAATAGACTTTAAGAGTTATACTTTTTAACTTTGAAACAAACTTCTACCCGAAATATTGAATTCATTTTTAAATCAAATTCAATTCAATTAATCGACTACAGAGAATTTAAAATGCTAAAAAAAAATAGGTTAAAAGTCGTACTTTGACAATTTCTATTTTTCTAAAAATTTTCAATATTATAAAAAAAAATTCTATGATTAGCGATCGAACTCTATTTACATGTCGACAAGTTCAGGTGTGTTGAACACGTTCACTAATCTGTCCGAACAATTTTTGTTCCATGTTTCGGAATAGCACTTTCAAATATAGACAATCTTTGTTTTGATGTTGAAATGTCGTTCCCAAAATGGAACGTTCAGCATCGAAAAGTTAAACACGAAAAAAACGAACGAAGGTAAAGAGTGTCTGTGGCTTTGCCCATTCTCTTCTCCTACATCGACACTAACAGTTCATTTGAGCCGAACCTTGAATTCAGAACTGGTCAATCTCTATTCATACTGAAAATTCGATCAACATACTCTTCCAAGTTAATAAATATATAGAAGAAACCTAGAATGAAATACAAATTAAAATCGAGATAGAGTTTATTTCGTCTTAGATGAAAAAAAAACTTTTAAAATTTCATCTGATTATATTTTATTTTTATCATAGATTTTCTCATTTGGATTCATCTAGTCCAATATCGTCTATATATTGTATTAATAACATTCATGATTCGACACCACTAAATAAACTCAAATCTCGTTCAATGGAAAGTTTAATGAATGTACCGAGTAGTTCATTAAAATATATTCTATCAATTGAAGAAATTCATTTATCACCAGTTGTATTACGTCGTGGTTATTTAAAATTTTTTGAAGAAAAAAAACCAAATTGGATGAAAAAATTTGTTGTATGTAAAATAAAAAATATTTTCAAATATGAAATTTGAAAAAATCAAAAATGATTTTTCTAGATTGTACGACGTCCATTTGCATTTATATATAATCATGAAAAAGATCCAGTTATACGTGCATTAATTAATTTAGGAACAGCACGTATTGAATTTAATGATGAAGAATCAACGCATGGAACAAGAGTAATGAATTGAATTTTGATAATTTTTTTAAAAGAATTATTCTTGTTTTTCTTTTTTTACAGAATACTCGAAATACATTTTCCGTTGTTTCAAAATATCATAATTTTCTTATTCAACCATTAGTTGAAAAAGATGTTTATGATTGGCTTTATGCATTTAATCCATTACTTGCTGGACAAATCAAGTAGATAAATATATAATTTTATTCTATTTTATTCTATTTTATTATTTGTTTTTAGATCACGATCATCAAATCGATCAAAAGGAAGCATTGGTTAAATTCGTAACAACAACAAAACATTGTGATCAGATGAAATATGACACGATATACACAATCACTTTTTCACTCTATTTCTATCAACGACACATTGAATTTTAAATAAGACTAACAAAATTAAATCTAGTCGTTTTCGTTTTTTGTTTTTATATGAATTAATAATAATTTTTTTTTTCCATAAAAATTTCTTGGTGTCTTTCAGTGCTTCTTAAATTTACTATTTTATTTTGTATGTGTCTGTATGTATGTAGATAAATCAAAATGATTATATTTGAGAAACAGTAATGAATCTGTATGCATGTCTTCTGTTTAAATTTAATTTGAAAATAAAATCATGTAAATAATCAAGAAAATATTCATTACACTATGAGTTATGAGAATATTTCGATCGAAATATTTTAAAAAAAATACATGTTGATATGTTCTATATTTAGAACTAACTATATAGAAATGTGCACTGAATGTTGTGTCGGTACGAAGACGATCATCGAAAAAAAAAGCTGATATCTCATAAAAATTGAATAATCATTTCTACGATTATTCGCACAAGAATTTACACTTGATAACAACGAATTCCTTTTATGTCGCTCTTATCAGAAACTCGAATTATTTACATTTCGACCGATTCATTGATCGAAATAGAAAAGTAGACATGGCAAAACTCATCACTATGACAACGCCACCAATACGTAAAAACATGTTTCTAAAGAACGCTGTCGAATTATCTACAGTCGAACTCAAAAGTCTCGCACTACTGTTTTATTTTGAGTTGTGTATTAAAATTAAATGGCATTAATTTAATTCCATAATATGTTTGTATACTAGAGACCAAGTATTATATATATACCGGCGAGAACCCGTGCATACTGCACAGCTTTTTTCTCCTTTAACGTATGATCCCAGACCTTTAACCATTCATCTGGTAACAGACATGTAGACACATGATATTATGTACATAGATAGATAGTCCTATGGCCTCATACTCTTATATCGCACATATTTTTATAGTCTAAGCAGTCTTCGGCCTTATTGCCTTACTCCGTTGAGGATCTATCAGTGTCCCAATATAATAGTGCCGAAGTGTCTATTGATACCCTCATAGGATAGCTCTCGAAGACCCATGTGTACCGTGATAGGATGACTCTTAAGGGACGTATGAGTGTCTCCATAGGATAGCTCTTGAAGATCTGTTGTTACTGTGAGAGAATGGCTCTTGAGGATCTATGGATGTCCCCATAGGATAGTCCTTGAGGATCGGTAGGTATCGTATAGGATAGCCCTTGAGGATCTATGGGTACGGTCATAGGATAACTCTTGAGGGACCAATGGATACCCCCATAGGATAGCTCTTGAGGACCTATGAATACTCCATAGGATAGCCTTTGAGAATGTATGGGTACCTCAATATAATATCCCTGGGGTCTTCCTGTAGCCTTATTTGACCATTAACCTTTGATCCAGCACAGGGTAACGGACACACACACACTGAACATTATATATATAGACACTTGTTTAATGCGAAAAACCCTCATATATAAAATATAAAAAAAAACAAATTTCAATGCTATGAAAAAAGACAAAATAAAATCGCTATTATAAGTTTTAGTCAGGTGCCAATAATTCAAAAATTGAGTAAAAATATTTTTTTGATATTTTCACATCAGTTCGATAGAGCTGTCTACATTAACAACTATTTTTTTCGGATAAACTTTACAAAAAAACTAGCATTTTTTATACGAAAAGTCGATAATTTTCTTTTCATAAAAAGTTATGAAAAACATGAGATTTTCGTCAATTTTATTCGAAAAACATTTATAATGTCGACAATTTTGTAGAGCTCGACGAGCTCTATCAAACTATGCAAAAATATCAAAAACTTTTACTCGATTTTTGAATTATTCGCACCTAACTAAAACTCATAATAGCAATTTCATTTTGTCTTTTTTCATAGCATTGAAGTTTGTTTTTTTTTTTTGTATTTTATATACAAGAGTTTTTTGCATTAAACAAGTGTATATATATATAGTACTTGATCTCTACTATACAGACATATTATAGAATTAAGTTAATATCGTCTAATTTTAATACACAACTCAAAACAAAAAAGTGATGTGGAACTTTTGAGGTCAACTGTATTATGAAATAAAGTACTTTATCTGGTCTTGATGGAAAAAGAAAAATATCGCAATAATTAATGTATTCTTGTAATACATGATAAATACAATGTTTTATTAATTTAGTTGTTTTTGTTGATTGTTTCGACGCAGATGCATCTGCCTCAAGTTGCATTGAAATATGTTCATTTTTAGGTCAATTATATTAAGCTCCAAATATTCGGGTGCTTTTTTTGACAATCGAATTGCAAATCGAAAGTTATAAACTAAAATATGAAACTGAATTTTTGCTACGGCCATTTTTAAAAGTTTTCGACATTTTTCCTTTTCAACGTTTTCCATCAATTCCCTTTATCAATCCTTGTAATGAAAGATGACTTTCAAAAGTATATATATGAAACTTAACATTCTGATTTTTTGAATTTTTCTATTTGCTTTTCTTTCAACTTATACTGTAGTAAGATATATATTTTTTAAGAACAACATTTTACATAAAAATAAATTAAAAAACAAACATAGAATTCAATGTATTATAACGATAATATGCTTTTCATATTCTATAGATACTTGTTTAATTATTTACTTTAAAGTTATCTATAGATAAAATATAGATGTATCGACAAGATGAATTTCTTCTTACTCAATACATTTTCTTTTCATTTATTTACGTTATTAAAAAAAAAAAAAAAAAAAAAAAGAAAAACACTTAGTTATCATTAGTATTCATTTGTCCGTGTTCAATATTTTCAATGAGTGTGTCAATGACATCAGTATGATTTTTAACAGTTTGTAGATGAGCTGTAATGGTAACTACAGCAATCATACTATAAACAAGATGACTAAAACGTATGACAGATTGTTCAAATGAATATTTATAAAGTAAATATTTCCATACAATTTCAGCATACATATTTTGTATACTTAAGAATAATTGAATATCTGTCAAACGTATGGGTGACGTATTTTCATCATATAGAATACAACCACTTGTACAAAAAGCAAATATTGATAATGATAATTTAACGAGATCAAAATCTGGATCCAATGATAAAATCATATTTAAACTTAGATTATATGGAATAGTGCCATAAGTGATCTCCAGACCATGACGGTAAGCTGAACTTTCAATAAGTCCAGATTCACGGACTGTCAAAGATGCACCAAGACAACTAATATTATAGACAGTACCACGTAAGATAATCGAACGATCATGAAGAGGTAATGAAGCAAAATGATGATTTGATTGAATAAATGGTTCTGCTGTTTGACAAAGAAGTTTAGAGATTTCAACTGTTTTTGCTGAATCAATTTTAAAACGCAATTTTGGATGCAAACTATTGATCTCATTCACAACATTTTTTACAAATATTAGAGCATTATGTTCATCATGTGAATGAATTAAATTAGATAGAAGATTCCATTGATCAGTAGTTAATAATGATCGATCTTGATCAAGTAAATTTAATGTTGGTAGCTACAATGAAAATGATAATTTCTTTGTTTTTGTAATAAATGAAAGAAAAAAAAACCAATTTGTTAATGATGAAACGATATCACATCATCGAAATGGTTTTCTTTGACTAACAATAATAATAACATATGAATTTTTTCATTTATAAGAACTTTCTGGGTTGGTGAATTTTCCGCACGGGAATTTTCAGCACGGAACGTTCAGCACGGAATTTTCAGCACAGAAACGTTCAGCATTAGGAATAATCAGCATGTTGAATTTTCAGCACGCAAACGTCCATCATGAAAAACACACTGTGAGGCTCTTGGTATAGGTAAGAGCGTAGCTGCAGGTGCCGGATGGGTGTTGGTCTGGTACTGGGCATCCTTCTCTATGTGTGAGTTAGCGGAGTGTATTTCTTACTCATTTTCGTCCACACACACACCTAGATTCACACTCAGATCGGCACCAGAACCTCACAAACACATAAATCTCCGTCTATGGCTCCGCCCGCAACGACACCCACATCTACGCTTATTATCTCACTTACACCCACAGGCACCTACAGCCACACCAAGACCCTCGCGGTGTGGTTTTTGATGATGGACGTTCGCGTGCTGAAAATTCAACGTGCTTATTATTCCTAGTACTGAATGTTCCTGTGCTGAAAATTCCGTGCTGAAAATTCCCGTGCTGAAAATTCCGGTTCCCGAACTTTCTAATAGTCATAAAAAAAAAAAACAATCATTAAAAAATACAAATCGATTTGATTTATACCTATTGATTCTAATCATTCAATAATAGTTCTTCTTTTTCTTAATATGATGATATAAAGACAGATGTTACATTATCTTGAATGTAACTGAATTAAACATAAATCGACTGATTCTTTTTCCACTTCCGACAGAATCAAAATCGAAACTAAGACAATTGATCTTTTAATGTTTAATTGAACATCGAAGAAGGAGAATTCTAATAACTAAATACGTTTTAATATAGAAGCAAGATGTTTCAAACTGTTAGATAGTCGTAAAGAACATTTTCACGCACTACGTTGACAAAAATTTTTCCAATTTCTTTTTGTGAATAAAATTTCGAATTTTCGAAATGATTTTTTTCGGTTATGTAAAGACTTATGATAAGAAAAAACGCAGTTGAACGTTATTCGATCGTACTCTATAGGATTGGACAGTTATTAGAAATCCAATGGGAATCTTATTGATGAAAACAATAATGAATCCAATGGTTGTGACACTGTAGACATCGAACAAAAACCTACTAATGGTATCTGACCACATTCGACTGCGAGACTAACCAGTCTTACGAGAAAAGATTTGCAATTCAATTCAGACAATGTGCATCATATAGCTCATAATGAGCTATGAATACTCTGAAAAGAATTCGAGCTGTTAGCTTATTGTTGCCGAGATACTGTATTTTCTTCTTAGCATAATGCCGAGGTCTCTTCAGAAACACAAGGAGAATTGAATTTTGAATTTCGATTTGTAACTTTACATAGGAGTAGATCTTAAGGACTCCCGTCAAAATCGATTTACTTCTTAGAATGGACTGTTTGGGTTGAAATTTACAAGAATGAGTTGTTCTAGTGAGAAACGCTTATAGTAAAACTTTTAGACCAATATGTTATACTGTACGGAATTTCCAGCTTGTTTATATGGCTTCCAGGAGAATTATTATAACTTCGTTACTATCAGACGTACAGAGTTAAAATTAAAGCTAACCTCTATGTGCAATTTTTGTTCGAATAGAATTTTGAAATTCCCTTCCATTCATTTTTCATGAGCATTTTAATAGACATGGTGTTCAAATAAACACAAAAAAAAAGTGACTCTCACAACACCAAATTCCACTTTTCTCAGGCTAGGAATCCAATATAAAAAAAATCTAGTGAGAAAAAAGTTTACTCTCATTGAGACCTTTAATACGAAAACAAAAAAAATATTAGTTATACTTTGAATCGGATGGGAGTTATTTCAATTTTCTTGCTTGGAAATCATGTTTTGAGAAAAATACTAAAGAAGTTTTAGAAATGGATTTTTTCATTCAAATTCAGAGAAAAAAAAATCATATTACAATTGCATATTTTTAATATAGTTCAGTGAACTGTTTTTCAGTACATAATAAATGAAGATAGTTAACATCATCTGTCATATGTTCTATTCAATGCTAATACAAGTAACAATGCAGTTTTTCCAAAATAGAAAAACTTTAAAAAAACCACGAAAATTGTCTCCGAAAACATGATAGTAGAGTCGAAGTTTCCTGTGATAAATCTATGAAATTCTGGGCATTTTGCGAAAAATCATATATATATACTGGAAGAGGAAGCTTCACTGCATCTTCTTATGATAGAAACTCAATTTTGATATTTGGGTTTTCTGAGGAATTCCTTAATGAAACTAGTTTATTGTGAAAGTTTCAGATCTTCTGATTGCTCGTATTTTGAAATAAGGACGTCGAAATCTATCGGTACATATGAGCGACGTAAAAAACATGCGTATATCATAGCTGTATTTTAGGATAGGAGCAATCAGAGAATCTGAAACTTTCATAATAAACTAGTCTCATTAAGATATCAGTTGAAGACCTTCCTTCATTAGTATGTTAAGTAATCGCATAGTCTTAGTTTTAAGTAGATTACTGAATTAGAATAATATAAACATGTAACCTTTATTGATTGTTCATTTTGTCGACTTCTCACTGGAACTAATGCTGATGATGTAGTATTTTTTCTCTTGTTCCTTGATTGAGGACATCGAATCATTTCAATACACATTCCAACTTTAAAACATTTTTCTAATCTACATGCAGCACATACATGACGATTATTAATATTCACTTCACATTGATCATCAAAATGACATTTCAATGTTTCCTAAAACAAGTTAATTTAGAGAACAAAAGAGAAAACATAGTTTTCATTTTAACTTACCTTTCGATTTTCAGCATTTCGTTTGAAAAACATTTTACATGATTGACATGCCGTGACACCATAATGCGAAAAACTTGCAGAATCTCCACAAATTTTGCATTCAGACGAAGTTATATTTGACTTTGACATGACTAAAACAGAAACAAATTAAAATAGTTTACTTCTTTTCTTCTAACTAATACTAGTTGACAAAAAAAAAAAATGTCTGTCTATTTTCAACACACTAATAAAACACCAGGAAGAATGAAAGAAAACGATAATGAATCGACGTGATTCTTTCTGTTTACGATAAGTAATGAAGAAACTAAATCAAAGTATAAATAAGACACAGATGCACCGCTTCCACGTGCACATATGTAAGAAAACAAGAACAAGAAAAAAAAACAAGATATAGATTTTTATTCAATAACTTTATTTTTGAATAAAAATGAAGACTTTTTTCTACTTGTATTTACAAGTTGAAAAGACTTAATTAAATTTTTATCTAAATTAATTTTGACAAGGACAAGAATAAACTATCAATACTATGATTAATCAAATAACATCACATTCTTGTTCTATAAATAGAAGGCAAAAGTCAAAAAAACCAACTAATAGACAAAAAAAATATGACAAACACTTTATATATTGAGATAATTCTTATCACAATCATAAAAAAACCACTACTATCAACTTGTTATGTTGAAAATATTGTCAAAAGAAATTTAATGAAATGAAAAAAAAAGAATTATTTCCATTCAAACCATTATTCTCAACGTTTCATAATGTCAAAAAAAGAAACAATTTTTTTTGCTTCAATTAGATATATTCATATAGTCATTTTTTTCTGGAACTTATCACATCCGATTAAATATTTATCTGATCGTTTTTTTAACATATTTTATTTTTAAATCGTCGATCTTCACTAGAGTGTTACAATATATGCGAATAATTGTTATAATATGCGGTCAGAACAAAGGAAGTATATACAGAATAGCGAAAAGTCTTAAGGAACCCCGTCCTCGTGCTTTTCTGGAGTTTCTTGAGAATGGCTCATTAGAAAAATTTGAAATTTTCAGGACAGATAGATCTTAATGAGTACAGCAAAAGTTGTTATAGACTTAAAATTCTCGGATGTTGTCTTCTATGAGATAATACGGTGACAATGGTGAAAAATGACCTCTAGTATTCGTCTCCGTTTCTCCAAGATGGTGTGTTCGATTGAGCTGAAATTTTTTTTTACAAGTATTAGACACTGTTCGAGGTGGGGGTATCTTTTTATCTTTTGTTATTTCAATAAAAAAAAGTCAAAATACCGAGCCTACCCTAAAAAACGCTTGTCTGTATTACTAGAGCAAGTTTTGTAAAACCTGCCAAAAATCATCATAGCAATAGTTCCTGACAAAAAAAAATACTCACTCCAAATAGTGATTAGAATATGTGAAAAAAATTTCAGCTCGATTCCTCTTACCATGTCGGAGAAACAGAGGTGAAATAGAACTTTTTCTGTTAAAAATTTGATTTGAAGAAAAAAGAAAAAAAAATCTATACGATTTTAGCTATTTTCATTATGTAAATTTGATTTCTGCCAGATTCTTTTAACCTTTATAGACATTTATTCCATTCCAAAATATACTCAGTAGATCGATGCTACTTGAAACTCTACAATGGTCATAAAAAAACCACAAAATGAAAAACAAAACAAAAATTTTGGGCGAAGAAAAGAGGAGATACCTGTAAGCACTCTAAAAAATCAAGACATATGAAATGTATAGACACGACGGTTCGTCCGCTTATATAGAACAGTTTAACCTAATTCTGATTGGTTGATTTATCGCTAACTTAGACACTTCAAGTGTCAACAGATAAACATTTTTAGACACTCGAGTGTCTTACTCAATTCTCGTTGAAACATTTGAACCAGTTACAAAAATATCTTAAATCTGTCTTTCCAAGATGTTGCAGCTGATTTACGAGCTATTTATTCTGAAAATGAATGTATTTCGATATGATCCATACGTGTGAATGAAATATTTTTGATAAAATAATTTTTTAGCTTTTCTTTCCATCAAATTCATTTTTATTAAATTTAACTTTATACAAAAAATTGTTTTTTTTTATTTTTGTGAAAATAATTCTTTTAAATTTTTGCAAAAGATTGAAGTTAAACTTTTGTAAAAAACAAATTAAAAGAATTTGATGAGAAGAAAAATTAAAAATTATTTTATCAAAAATATTTCGTTCATACGTACTGATCATATCGAAGTACATTCATTTTCAGAATAAATAGCTCGTAAATTAGCCACAACATCTTGGAGAAATATTAAAGTTTAAGTTTCGGTGAGATTGAATTTGTTATCGAATTTTTTCGTAAATGTCCAAATGAGAAATTAAATATAAAAACTTTATGATAGATGTTCAACACGATAGTGTTCTAGAAAAAAAGAAAAGAATCATACAGCACCTTTTTTAGCCTAAATTAATTTAAAAGAAATATTTTTGATACCGAAAGCACATAACTTAAAAAATTAGTTTAGGAAAAAAGAATAGAAAAAAAAATCCTTGTAATGTAGAAAAACACTTTACTTGACGACTTCACATAATTTAAGAAAATTCACTTGTACAAGTTATCACAAATGAGAAAGAAAAGAAATGAAAATTGTACACAATAGCGACAGTTAAATAAAGAATAAGACACTTCAGTGTCTATGCATTCAATTGTTTAACACATAAGACGTTTTAGTATCTATTACACTCAAGTGTCTAAAACAGAGACATTTCTAGTGTCTAACTAATGTCTAAAATAGACTTTAGATGGATGCACCGTCTTGTAAGATGGATGGCATTTTTTAGAGTGCACTATAATAGTTACTCCATTAATCAAAATTGACCTTAGCCTCTACACTGTAGTGAAAATTTAAGAATATAATATACTGTCGGCCAATAAAATATTTGTATAACTGTTTATTGATTAAGATATGATTTAGACACTCATGATCTGTACAGAATTTAATGAGTGTAGTATCTATTTGAAAATAATGATTATATTCGAGCGACATCACTTTCATTCATTTGTCTATATATATATGTTGTGGTCAAAATTAAAATTCAGTAAAATTTAAAATTTGCCTGGTCAAAATTAAAATTTTAATTTCTTTGACTGAATTTTAATTTTGACCACAACATATATATGTATATATAACTGTTCACTCGGTGTACAATTAGATTGGTGCATTAAAAATTAAATTATCTCAAAAAGATGAATTAAGTATGTTTTAAATTTTACATCAATCACATTACTAAATTCACTTTTAATTTACGTAGTGTGTTTGAAGCCAAACAGTAGCAAGAAATACATTTGAATACGTCATCTGCAGTTTTCGCAGGAATCCCTAGATCATTCGAGCAGTGGTAAATGTAGAATAATTATTCTCTTTCAAACTGTACATAAGATTTTTTTTCTAAAAAATTGTCTCACATATATAGATGGCTCTATTTATCACCATCTATATCTTGTTACAACAGAAGAGAATGTCGAAGAGAGATTCTCGTTGAAAAGTTTCTATTAGTTCAAATAAGTCATTTTTTTACGTTCTTGTCGCCACTCATCAACGATAATCTTAGAAATGCGACTTGGGTTTCAAAAATAAATGATACTAAAATGTCTATCTATCTTTATTACTTTGAATGAGAACAATAAGTGTCTTCAAAAAGTCTCCCTACATTTTTCCCTTCCAAGCAGAGATGCTCACAGGACAGGATGAGATCTTCATATCCTGCAAATTTGAACATCGAGTTTCTGAGTTTTCATTTTCAAAACGAGTGTTTTTTTTTTATCTGTTTGAGTCAAAAATCAAAAATAGGTTAGCGAGGGCGGTATCAGTTGTTCAATTTTATCTATTTTTGCAATAACAACTAATGTAGAAAGAGAATTTTCTACTGCTGGTTGGATCTTAAATGAAAGGAGAACTCATCTTCAACTAGATAAATATAGAAAACATTTTATTCATTATGATCAATAGAAAAAGGTTTATATAAAAAATAAATTATATATTTTTTTATTATTTTTTTCTGATTGATAGTAGCTGTTATATACTTTTTATTGAATATTTTTTTCAAATGAAGATCTATAGTAAAACTTATGGATCAAACTTGCATATATTATATGATTTTTGGTAATATTCATATCTTTTGTTAGTGAAGCTGTTAGTTATTTATATTGTGAAATGGATTTAAATACAACAATTTCCTATGATATAATGTATAAACGTTGTTGCTGTTGAACTGAATTAAAAAACCACAATAAGAAAGCATGTAGATCCTACAGGATGCCCTGCTTCATCTAATGCAGCAGAACAGAGCAGGATATGCTTTTGTTTTTGCTTTTTTTGTTAACAGGGCAGAGTGTAAAAATTCACCCTGTGAGTATCTCTGTTCCCCAGTGCATTTTTTTCTATTGATTTGATGAATCATCAGACTCCGACCGGGTATTACTATTACAGTTTCATTTGACGATTAATTAAAAAGCGACATGTTTAATATGCCAGTGCTCATACACTCTATGCAAATGTTTTATAGTATTTACTAATTTTATTTGATATTGAATTGATACATAAATGATTCTATTTATTTCATATGATGAAATGAAATTATCCAAAGCATCATTCCAATATGTATGGTTTCGATTCGTTCTTTTATCGACCATAGTTGACCAAGTCAATTTGAAAAATTGAAAACTCAACAAATCTTGACAATTTTTCAACTATTCAAATTTTTTCATTATTGTTGCTAGAAGATTTTAGTCATTATCCTTACTCTCAAGACAGCATATAAGTGAAAACTAAAATCACTAAGAAGAAAAATTGAAAACTCAAATTGACTTAACGAGTTCTACACTATTGACTTGTGAAGATATTGAAGTCCTTATGCATTTTCATCTATTGAATTATTTAAATTGAATTTTTGACTTTTCAATTTAACCATGTATCGTGAAATCCGTTCTCGAGATCATTGCAACAGAAAATGATAAAGAATGCTATGCTTTGCACCGTAGTAAAAAAAAGTGAATGATCGGATTTTTAGCATCAAGGACAAGTTCGAGAATAGAATCATTAGATACAAAAGAAGTATTCATCTCAACAGCTTATAAGATCCAAGATTGTACGTGACAAAGAAAAAAAGAAAATTTTAATGATATATTTAGTAAATTCAATTGAGAAGTAAAAATTTATTCGAAATTTAGAAGTTATAAAAAGTTTTTGTGTATGATGAAATATTACAAAACTCTTCTTTGATCATTCTTTAACTTTGTAGTAACTCCCGACGCATATATGCGTCATGAGCTTTATCATCCTGTAAAACTGATGTAATCGCTTACAATGCATATTTTTTTGTGACACATTTGCGCAGAAATAAACATCAAACAGCAGGCGCTTGTCACGTAATCATTTTACTACGACTCATGCGTTAAGAAACGGAAATCTGCATGATGTTAAGTCATCCTATTTTACGTATGTGTATCTTTTGTCAGTAGTAAAAGAGTTAATATTCGATGTAAATTTGTCATTGACAAGAAGCCATCTAAAATCATGATATTATTGTTTGTGATAATAATTATGTTCCATTAAACTATCATTGTTTTTGCTTTTCTTTTCGTCTTCTCTCAAAAGATATAAAACACGTTATGGAGTTTTCTCATTGTACATCGTATTGCTATTAACTTTTCTCAATCTAACATCAGTTTATAATCTCTATAGATATGACTCAATACCGAAGACAAATAAATTATAATTCTCATATAGTGGTACTATTTTGTGCTTGAGAATAGAATTATATCATGAAAATCGTATATAGATTCTATAAAATACTGATGAATAATAGCTGATGTAATTCAAATCGGATAAAAAAACCCAGCGGTACTCTGATATTTAAACGGTCGTCTATCCTGTGACTATGATTGTACTGTAGTATATCGATAGTTGTTCTCCGAATGGTAGTCTACTATCGATATTTGTATAGGTACCGCAGTATAGCTGTGGTATCGCAGACAAACTTGTGACATTGGAAGAAATTAGTAATCACTTTCATATTATTCATTTCTTCTTTTTTCCTGTTCTATGTACACTATGACTCAAAAAAAAACTATTTCACCTGTAAAAGTACGTAGATATCATAAATATTACTCATATTACCTTGAGAGGAGTGGCTGCCATGGTCAAAACGATATCTAATACATTTAGTATGAGTATATTGTCTCGGTGACTCGTCATCGTAAAGAAAATGTCGTGAGAGCAATAGTCATCAAACTATATAAAATACGAAAAGTACATAAAATCACCCATAAAAAATATACACATAAATGGGAAAATTAATTTGATCGCTAGCATATATATTTAAATAAATATGAATAAAAATCATTTCATCACATGCAATTCTATATTTATGTTATACTTTAATAAAGAAACGAAAACAACAAAAAAAAAAAACACACTTTGTTTTATAGTATAGTTCAAAAACTTGTAACAAATAGTTATAATAAATATAAAGTTTAATATTAATCATTTTTAATATTATATTCTTCTTGAAACCAATTCCATGTTTTTTCTAATCCTTCATATACACTTGTTTTTGGTACAAAATTTAATAATTTTCGTGCTTTTGAATTATCACAATATGTTATTGGAGGTTCTGTTTTATGTGATTTCATTGAACGTTTTGATATTTGTTTACCAGATAATTGTTCAATATGTTCAATAAATTTTGATAATTTTATTGGATTTCCACATCCAATATTAATTATTTCATAACCATATTGTTGGTCAAGTGCATTTATAAATGCATCAATAACATCATCAATATAAGTCCAATCTCGTTTCATTTCACCATCATCAAATACATCAATAACACATGTTGGATCAATACAAGCACGCATTAATTTAAATGGCATCATGTCAGGTCGACCACGTGGACCATAGACATTAAATAAACGTAAAATAGTTATATTAAGTCCATGAATATTATAATAAACATATGCTAACATTTCTGCAGCACGTTTTGTTGCTGCATAAGGTGATAATGGTTGTGCACATGAATCTGTTTCAACAAATGGTAATTTATCTGTCTGTCCATAAACACTTGAAGTTGAAGCAAAAACAAATTGTGTAATTTTATGTGAAGCAGCAAGATCAAGTAAAAGTTGTGTACCCGCATAATTGACTTCCATATATTTTCCAATTTGAGATGTTGATGAACGAACACCAGCAAGTGCCTAAATATTTTGGAAAAATATTGTTTTAATTTAAATATAATAAAAACAAAAAGAAAAAGCGTAATACTAACAGCAAGATGAGCAATATGTGTTATTTTATATTTATTAAAAATCATTTTTAATAATTCTTCATCATTAATATTACCCCGAACAATAATAAAACTTCCATCAAGTACACGAGTTGAATAACGAGCTTCAAGTAAAGAAATATTTCGTTGTTTAATTCGAGGTGAATAATAATCATTAAAATTATCTAATAAAATAACATGACCAAGATTAAGTTCAAGTAAATGATCAATCAAATGACTACCGATAAAACCGGCTCCTAGAAAAAAAAAATAAACAAAGAAACTGTTTATTTATTTTTCTGTTATGTTGAATATTTACCACCAGTAACAAGATAAACATCCGATTTAAGCATATTATTTGAATTTAAAAATAACAAAAATTCCAATGTCTTATATAACTACTAATGACAAAGCAAAATTTTGAAATGCAAGGGCGACATGTGCGTTGAAGTACGCATAAAACGCAATTCATCTATAATTGTCGAGAATGACGGAGAAGAAAAAAAAAAGAATAGTTTTATGACTATCATCACATATGATTTGTTTTTTTTTCTTTCTTTTCTTTCTGCTCCGTCTAGAGTAAGCAAGAATAGAAATGAATGATACAGATTTAATCGTTAACTATATCTATACAAACTTTTATATCTTATCTGAATACATCATGAATAAAATACATCATTTTTAAACAGTCTACCCATAGAAGAATCGAATGACCGAAGACACTTTTAGTGCATTTGCAATGTCATGTCTCGTTTCTAATTTAATACCGCTTATTAATACCGAAATGACGCCGTAGAAACAAGTAAAAGTGTTGCATAGGCATGAAAAATTATCATCTTAGATATTTTATCCTACATTAATTATTAAATTCTTCGAATAATACAATACAATAGATTTAATGAAAGAAAAAAAAGCTGAAAGTAAAGCAATTTTCTAATTGAATTCATTGAAATTGCTTTCGAAATCAGATTTATACAAAAGTTCCACAGGAAAAAAGATCTCTCTTGTTTGTAATGAAAAAGCGCAAAATTTTTTTAAATTTTTTATCGATTAATTTTATTTTGTCTCTACATTATACGAATATAACGATGTTACTACAATCCTATCGTTTTCGTTTGAAAACAGCACCTGAAACATTTATTCAACAAAATAATAATATATCAAATTCAAATACTTTATTAATTTATTTTAAAGGTGAACAAGGTTTAACTCAAACATTATTTATACCATTAAATAAACTTAATGAAGATATATATGAAAATAAATTTGAATTAGTTGATGTTGGAAATGTAAATAAAAACAAATACTTATTCATAAACATATGTTTTTGTTTTTGTTTGTACATCAATAGTTATCACTTGCACATGTGAAACTTGATGGAAATAATATACGATGGAAATTAAATTGGATTGAACTTGAACGAAATAATGTCGATGGAGAAAAATTTATTTTCAAGTATAGAATATTTCAAAAGTTCGAACGAAATAGAAACACAAAAAAAAAATATCTTGTTAATAATTAATATGAGACTTTTATGATTTTGTTTCAGATTAATTTTATTTGCGCCCGCTATTCAAAGTGATCTTACAAAATTGAAACATATAAGTCTGCTGGTATCAAATAATTGGGAAGAAGATGTTGCATAGATTTTCTTTTTTGTTCCAATTCTGATTGTTAACTGGACCGAAAAATCATTTACAATATAATCATATTAATAGAACTTATCCCATGTTTTTTATCAGGAATGAAATGAACAATAAACTTGACACCCATAGAATGAACAAAAACAAACATTAAGACACAGGATTTAGAGTGTTATTAATATAAGCGGGTTTACTACGAGAAAAGAACAAGTTTTCTTCTTTTCTTGAATCACTCGTATGAATGAATTATTAATTTGACTTGGTGATAATCTTTTCACAGAAACACTCATCACTAGTATGACATCTACTCTTCTGACTACTATAGATAATAATACGGAACTCAAATATTATCCTGCAGGTTCTGTATCCTGCGCCGTTTTCTAGTTTGACGCGGTGAAAGTATAAGTCGTTGAATCGGACAACTTCTTTAAGTCCACATATTAGGAAAAATGTTTGTTAGAAACAAGAACTTTGAACTTCATCAACTTTCTTCATCTGTCATTACTTTGCAATTTCTACATGTCAGTTTTATTAAAGGGTTAAGAGTAGAGCCCGGTGTAACCAACTTTTTTGGTTACGGTCACATCACGGTCACGACTAGAGCCCGGCGTGACCAACTTTTTTGGTCACGGTCACGGAGATTTTTTCTAGCTTCTAACGATCTCTTTCGGTTAACGATATATATATATTGTTTGCAGAGGTCAGATATACAAATTCTATTGGTGAATTGGGACCAGAACATATCACTGTGGAAGAAAAGAAAAAATTAAAATATTTTCAATGTTGAAGGAAAAATTTTTCTTAATCAATACGTGATGAATAAATTATCCAAAGAAAGTTTGTTGAAACTAATTTCTATCAAAGATGTTGCAGTTACGTTTTCAAAGGAAAATGAGAAAAATCATGTATCGAAAGTATGGTCCAACTTTAGTTCGATTTTTCTTAAAAATGTAAAACAAGATTATGTTATGTGTGATTCTTGTATGTCTCTTATTACATATAGATCAGCTACGGGTACTGGTGGTATGCAAAAATACATTGAGTTACGTTCTGAAAAGCCTTTGTTAATCAAAGAATTAAATGCAAATAAAATTACGTCATATTTTAATTCAACTAAGAACAAATCGAATTATGTTCCTCGAAAATTAAAAGATTGAAATTACAGTTGCATTAACAGAATTTATTATTTACGATAATAGACCATTTGAAACTGTGAAAGGAAATGGTTTTATTAATCTTAGAGATGTTATACTAAATACTGGTCGTAGTTTACTTGATTCATCAACCATTTGTGCTTCTGATTTGCTTGCTGATCCACGAACAGTATACTCAGACCTCTTTTCATCCGAATATTGTTAGCTTTGTCTGTTTAGTTAAGTCGTCGAGTTGATCGAATGTATGAGGAACGAAAATAGCAATTAAAGACTTTATGTCAAATAATGAAATCTTTTACTATTACGGTTGATTTCTAGACTGAAAAATACACCGGTTTGCTCTGTGATGGCTAAGATTCTTATTTCTAATAATTTTTGAGAGAATAATTAATTATATTATTCATTTTTGCCTAAAGATTTTTTAAAAAATATTTTGTGTATGAATCAAAATATGTTTTGACTCATGTCGAAGAAAATAGAAATATAAATTTCTGCTTTTAAAATTAAGTATTTCTGTTCTTTTTACTCGAATGCCAACAATACATTTGCGAAAGAAGTAAAAAATATCAGTGACGGTCACGGCTATGACCATGACCGTGACTCACGGCGGTCACGTCGGGCTCTAGTTAAGAGATAACTTCGATCAATTCTATATGTGACGTTTCCTTGTAAAACTTGTTTGACAATTTTCGTTGGATGAATCAAATTTATTCATTGATGAAATTATTAAGATTCGAATATTGATAAATAAATACATTTTATTTAAACTATACTGAATAAAACCTAAAGAAGCTTCCAATAAAATCATAAAAAATTTCAAGTCAATACCTTGAATTTATTAAAGAGATATTTGCGTTTGTTTTTTTTTGTTCGGATTTTTGGAACATTCTGTAAATGAATTCATATGAATATTTTTTATTTTGTACATATAAAGTTTTCCAATAAATCGATGGCTTGATTCAAATCGAAATCAAAAACTTGATATATTTATTAAAGAAGGTCCTGCACAATTTGGTAACATTCGATTACAATTAATTTTGTCTTATAATATGTTTTTTTTTTTTTTTCAAAGCTCCGATTTATACAATTATTATACGTACGGGTACTATTAGTAGTTGTTTACAAGCAAATATTCGTCTAGCATTGATTGGTGATGGTGCTTCAACAATTCCATTTGATCTTAATTCAAATTCAAATTTAATTCAATGTACAACTAAGAATTTATTTCAATCAGGTTCAAAAGATCTATTTTATCTATCATCATTTGAATCTGTTGATATTGGTCAAGTATAACAGATTTTTCAATTTTCTACAAAATTCAAATTATTTTTTTTATTTTTCTAAGTTATTTCATTTACAAATTCAATGTAATAGTCATGATAAATTACCATATTATTGTGAAAGTATTGAAATTATCAATAATTTAACAGATGAAAAATATTTGTATGTTATATTGATATGATTAAATTATCTTAGAAATAATTTATTGATTAGTTTTCTTGTCAATCATTGGTTTGGACCAAATTTAGAACAAAAAATATCCGTTCCAGTTATTGATCGTAATAAAGGTCTATTAAAATGATATTAATTATAGTAATATCAAATTTTTTTTCTTCATATAGAATCGAATATATTTACAATTTCTATTAAAACTACAGATATATCGAATTTCAATGGTCAGAATATAATTTATATTCATGTAAGACAAATGTTTTTTTTTTGCTTAATTTCATGGTTGTTTTTTTTTTGTCAAAGATAAATTTTACTAATGGAAAATCATACGAAGAAGCACTTAGTTCATCAGAAACACATCAAATTCCATTTCAAAAAGATAATATTGATTTTTTTCTTGTTGTTATTGATAATATTAGTGATAATGAGGTAAAAATAAATGAAATCAGAATGAATACATTCTAAGAAAAAAAAAAACAAACAAATATTTCATTCAGTCTTTTATTAGATAAGCAATGTTAAAATTTGCTTTGTTAATAAATCAATCGAGAATACAACTCAAGTTCAATGGAATTGTTCTTGGATTGAAATTCGTGATATTTTCTATCAACGAAATTATTGGTAGTTTTTTGTTTTTAATCATAGAAGAAATAAAATTTTTAAAAAAAATTTTAGTTATATTCTTCCAAAGACACTTGTTAGTTGTCTTATGAATGAACAATATGAATACACATATCTAGAAAAAATGACTGACTTACCATGTTCGAAAAATTGTAAGATTTTTATTTTTATTAACAAGAAGTATATATATATAATTCTCTGTCTTATTATCTATTTAGTGAATAATTAAAATGAATCTGTATATTAATTATAAGATTATCTGCAATACAATTCATAGATCAATACATATAACAATAGATTGTATAAAATGATAAAGAGAAAATAGATGTAGTTTTTTTTTTTAACTATAATGAAAGTTTATTTACTTTTGTCTATCAAAACTAACTTTCATAGATTGATGATATAGATACTACTTGTAGAAATACATTTTTCTAAAAGAATGAAATTTGAAGTAAAAATATCAAACACTATTGAACAAAATTCTATCTAAAAACTCAGGTACAATAAAGTCTTAAATAAAATGTATATGAAAATAATTTAAAAAACAAAATTCAAACTTAATTATCATCAAATATCAGTTGTGCACTAAGTTCATTAATACATATGATCTTCATGAAAGACTAGTGTTCGAAATAGAAATCTAATTTACTAGCGTACAATCAATTTACTTCAGAGTTTATATTCAGTCACAAAATCATTGATAGTTTTATTTTCTAATGTCCATTTCAGAGATAAATGGCCGTGGGTATTTTTCGAATAACTTTTGATAGGAACGAGATAAAGACCTGCGGTTTTCACCGTTGGAAAGAGCAGATGAAAATGCATCGAACCGTATATAGAAAGATTTTTCTAACGACTTTCCTGAAGGTTTTAGTCAAACGTTTTCAAAGAATTGCGTTTTTCTCCTACGCTAAAAAAGTGATTTTTCTATCGAAATATCACAAAAAACCCCCACTTTTCGACTATTTTGTTGAAAAACTGGGTGGTGAATTGCACTCCAATGGCTAGAATATCGTATTGGTAGTAGTTAGGAATAGAGCCTTTCCATAGTTTTTTGTAGCTCTTCATTTTGCGGTTCTAGCGCACTTCTGAAAGTCAATAAATTAATATCGCAATCATGAGAGGCATGCTGTTTTTCTAGAAGTTTTACGTAAAACCTTCAGGAAAGTCGTCAGAAAAATCTTTCTATATACGGTTCGATGCATTTTCATCTGCTCTTTCCAACGGTGAAAACCGCAGGTCTCTATCTCATTCCTATCAAAAGTTATTCGAAAAGTACCCACGGCCATTTATCTCTGAAATGGACATTAGTATGCTAACTATCCATTCCAAAATAGAATGTGCTACACTGTTTTTCAAATAACTTTTGATAAGAACATCATTGAGATCTGTGGTTTTCACCATTCAAAAGAAAAGACTCGGAACTATTGAAGTATATCAAAAATTGATTGATCAATCCGATGAGTTTATGATAAAGATTTTCGAAAAAAGAGAATTTGAAGCCATTTTTCTTTTGACAGAACTGATCGATAGGAAGTATTCTCCTATTTCAATCTATGCAAGGCCGATATTCCTAGCTTGCTTCGTTCAAAAGTTATAAAACTTTTCTTCTGAGCCCCTCGATTTCAGCTAAATGACCTGTGACCACCTAGAAAAGCAGCTAGGTAGGGGTAACTCACTATGTTGAGTCGCATTGTGGTATTTGTTTCTAGGTTCGAAATGATCTAACTCTCTTCTGAAAATTCTACAATCAGCCTTCATGTAATGACAAAATCAGCATTTCGAAAATATTTTCTTCCGTTGACTTTTGATTTTTCTTGTCTAAACTTGTCTTAATAATTCTCTCTTGTCACTATTTAACATAAGTTACATGTCAAAATGTCAATAATAAATAATTTGATTAAGATAAGTAAAATTTTTATTTATTTTGATGTTACTGTTACAGATGTGGATGTACAATATGTTGAATTTTAATACTATGTCAATTCTTTTAGTACTAAGTCGGAATAAAATAACGTGATCAAGGAGTGCAATGCATTAATTTATCATAATATGAATTTTGAAGAGTTATATCTATGTGGACATGCTCCTATAAAATCAATTATTTAAAAAAACTTTATTTATATAACTGTAGCTTGTCTAAGTTTCAATTGAGAGAAATAGCAAATTTCAAGAATGAAAATTTTGTTCATTTAAAGTTTGAATACATATTTATATGTAGCACATTAATTTAATATTTAGCTTTCTTTCACTGATTACTGTTTCAATAAATGAAGTTGTTTATTTGACTATAATATCAAAGTTTAGGTAGATGAATTAGATATACAATATTCATCATAGTACTTGTGTATATCTTACATCTTGTGATATTTTCTGTCACGACGACTTAGCAAAAGAAAAGTAATTTCGTATAAACTTCTAAATTTGTCGATTCAATTTGTGTTTCTTTCTTTTTAGTAATGGAAAAATATTGTTAATTTCTATGAATCAATCTATCTTAATAATTATTTCTAATGACTTATACTAAAGAATTAAATCTCATTCTGATAGAAATGAAAGAATAGCCTAACAGAATGCGTATGGTTATCAAAATCTTAATACTAAAGATATACCAAAAGGAATGATGGTGATATTCTAATACCGAATAGAAAGTTCGAAGAAAATCTCTCTCTCTCTCTCTAAACACACTGATAGGATAAACAGTGATCTTGAATACTTTATCATTTATCAATGAATATGCTAATAAATATTGTAAGAACCTTCATTAATCAAGCAATAAATTTGTTCAATGTTTTCAGATATTGTCTCGTCTACAAATCTGTCAGCATGTGCTTCCCCTCCAAACTATTGTCGACCTTCATGAAACAATACAGATCATCTTTTAACGGTCTTGATAGGTGAAACCTGGTCATTAAAAAAAGAATATAGCTCATTTTATGAAAAAAAACCAGATGTGAAAAGCTTTTATCGAAATTTCATTGAAGAATGTATGATAAATCGAAGGCAAGTAAAAAGGGATAAAGCTAGAACAAAAACAAAATGTTTTTTAATATTCAGTTTCTGAGAAATATGTTAAGAAAACCCCCTTTCAGGATGTTAAAGCAAAATATTTTTCATCACCAATATTGCTTCGAAGTATCCTCTGTCAAATGCCATATAAATGGGGGCTCTTCATTGTCATTTAGAACTTTCATTCACTCTAACAGCACTGAACACAGTCAGTTTCCGTCACTTTAGGTGGAGCAAAAAAAGTCCTGATGCATACAGGAAAATTTGTTTTGCATTTTTCTCAAAATTAATTTTTGAACAAAAACAACAGAGTTCTTTTCCCCTTTTCTTCCACACGGTACATCCGATCGAGCTCAAGTTTTTTTTTATAAGTACTTTGGTCAAATTGGGGTGCGTGTTTTTTTTTTCTTCAAAATGTTGTTCCTACGAAATTCGGAGCTTTAAAAAAATTAGTACTATTAAAAATAACACGTTTTTTAACCGTACTTTCGGTATTTTGCTTCTCTGAGCTCTAGGAACGATATTTTTGGAAAAAAAAACACGCATCTCGATTTGATCCTACTTGTCAATAGAAAACTTGCAGTTCGGAAAAATGAAGTATAGAGTTTTGCAGCGAGGAGAAGAGATTTCAGACTACTTTTTGATCTTTGCGACCCTCGTATCTCTCGGAAGAAAGCATCTGGAAATTTTGAGTTCGTGACAACTTTTGCTCTACTTATCGAGATCTATCTGCCTTGAAAGTTTCATAATTTTTCGTTGAACCGTTCCCGAGAAATCCAGGAAAAGGAGAAAGAAGTTTCTCCTAAAGATTTAGTTTTTATATTTTATAAATTCCCTGTGAAAACAAAACAGACAAAAAATAATCCGTATCAGATTTCATTATACGGTATTATTAAAATTGATCAGTTTAACGCACAAAGATCTTAATAAAGTAAAATGACAGACTAGAGTGTATGATCAATGGGACTAACTCGCAAAGTTGTACTCTGTACAAAGTTTTTTTCTTATGGCTGGTTACTAGCAAATATGAAGAAGTATTTCGTTACAAATATTTACAAAAGAATTATATATTTTTATTATATGTTGTTATGTAAAAGTATTTTTAGTATGAAATTTAGTCATATATTAAAGAACAATAAATATGATAGATGAAAAAATAATGATTGAAATCTCATACACAGATAGACGATTGATCACATTAACACAGTGTTCTCTCATTTCCATTTTTATTTGTCTAAAATGAGCGATGCTATATTGATGACGTCAATATGTGTAACCTATAAATAAAGTACACAAGTTATTTATTCTTGCTGTCTAACGAAGTCTCTTTCGAATACTTTACTTACATATGCATTTTTTTTACAATAGTCATTCTCATTTATACATAACATTAATTGTATGAATGATCTCAATTTCATAAGATGATTGAATATTTTCAAAATATGTGTGTAATATGAAAGTGGCTGAACTATCAATCTTGTGCAATAGTACTATACTGGGTGAGACAAAATGATTGCAACATTAGATATTTTACAAATATCTCAGCAAAGAAAAATCATAAAAATTTGAATTTTTTTTTAAAGATACATCATAAAATTCTCTACAATAATTAAAGTAATTTAGGAAGAACACGAATGAAAGATGTATAAGGTGCTCTAATTTTTTATTCATCGAAATTCATTTTCTTTTTGTATCTGAATAATAATTGTATTTGGCATACTGTTAATTCTTTCTGTCGACTTTTAAAAATCAAGTGGATCATATTGTCTGTATTACGCTATTGAGCATTCCCTTTCTTTCCGAGGTGTCTCGAGAACGGCTTGGCGAAAATTTTTAAAACTTTTAGGGTGGATAGATCTTGATGAGTAAAATAAAAGTTGTCATAGACTCTAAATTCCCAAATGCTTCCTTCCAGAAGATCTTGGGAGGTCAAAGGCCAAAAATGACCTGAAGTTCTCCTCCCCTTCAAACATCCATATTACATTATTTAGTGCTGAATTTTTTTCTGTGGTAACTAGGAACAAATCTGAGTGTGTATTGTTTTTCTTTGAAAAATATTGTTCCTGACGCTCTGGAGAAGTAGAACAAAAAATTTTAAGAGAAAAATAAATACGCACACCAATTTGATCGAAGAAAAAGCTTGAGCCTAATCGGTCGAATCGTCTAGGAGAAAAGGGGAGAAAACTTCAACCTTTAGTTTAAAAATCGCAAAGAAAGTTGCATTTTTTAGCATAAAATTGAGATTTTTTTCGAGTTTTTTATATACAAAAAGATGGTTTAACCTTTTGTAAAATGTGCTCATTAGATAGAGAACATTTAGATCTATGTACTAAAAATGAAAAACAAAAAAACTGAAAATTTTAGGTCAGGAGAGGGATGGATCCTTTTAAGAAGTATGAGCATCAAAACTAAATAATTGAGCACATCAAAGAGATAGGTTTTTATTTAACTATTCAAAATTGTAAATTACTTTCTTGTTTTACAAAATGATAAATATTTTATATGTTACAACGTTAAATTGACCTGTGCTTGTTGATGAATATTTTATATATAGTTATTTATCATTATTATATTTTGAACTATTTTTGTCGTTGTCTATGTTTTTTTCTTTTTATTATCTAATTTTGTTTTTCTAATGGAACATTTTTTTTTCTTTATCCTTTTACTGTGTATTCGATTAATGCTTTTATATTTAGAAGAACGTCATTAAAACTTCACTGATGTTCTGTTACTTGAGATGATAAGTACTGACAGGCTAATTTTTCATTCATTTGTATTCATATTAGTATTTAACTGAATGACATTCATCTATTTTTAACTGTCAAAGTAGTAAAAAACAGTTTTCAAATAAGATAGATATGTTAAATTCTTTTTTCTAGTCTATATATTGGAAAAGGTATGCACATATATATTTCTCTTCATTAACGAAATTTATTTGAAATGATTATTCTTTTTTGAAACAATCGATATAATTTCGACAAAAAAAATTCAAGGTATTGATAATTCTATGAAGACTTCATCTAGTCTAGACATTATATCTAAGATTATCATATCCATGTAAGACTATAAAGGACACTACTGTCAAAATAGACAGAAAGCAAAATAACTGATCGCGTTTTTTTTTTTGTTACTTAGACAGATAGGAAGAAAGGACTTCAGAGAAAGTTAATTAAATTCTTTTTATAGAAATCAATTTGAATGCCAGATATAACTAGAATATACATCTTGCAAAAAAAGACGTTGAAAGAAGATTTATTTTGATGTATGCAGATTGTTTTTTTTAAGTTTGTGCAGAAGCATATTTAAGAAACAAAAAAAAATTTGTTTTTCCTAGATTTTTAATTTTCTAGAATGGAAAATAATCGAACTAATTTATTAAATATTGTGATTCGTCAAGCATATTTTATTTTTTATTAACGATTAATAAAATACATTTTTATCTTTTTTATTATTCTATAATGAAATGATGATTAAAACATGTTTCCTTTCTTTTGTTTTCCCTAGAATTTGCTATATTACAACGTAAAAAGAACGTTTTAATTATTCAGCTTTATAATTTCTACCTAGACTTTTTATTTTTTTCTTGAATTTTTTTTTCTCTACTCAATTGTATTATGAGTACTTTTGTGTATAAGACGATTGTTGATGAATTTAATAACATAGCTCGAGAAAGTTGGAACTCAATTTACGTTACAGATCATGTCAAACAAATGTATCTGGAAGACGTAATTAATACATTCTCTATTTCTCAGCTATCGCTAGATTATGATAGACCTCTTGAGTTTCTCTTACGCATGCATCATAGCACAGAATAATTAAACAGGAAAACTTATGATAGCATTTAGAAATTTCCCAAACTTCAACAGCTGTTCATTAAATCGCCTAGTTTACTATAATAAAAAAAAACAACTCTTTCCTAATTTAGATACGAAGATCTGATGAAGCTTACTCTAGTATATTACATGCATGAATAAATTCAATTACGAAAATAATTATCTGTTGCATGCTATATAATTGAGTAACTCTATTTTGTTATTTGTTTTTACAATTTTCCAAGGAACATGATGCTACAATAGATTCTTTCGTAAGTTCTATGTTCAAACCGTATTGACATTTTTTTATAAGATTTATCCTCAACAAAAGCGTATTATGTGTAATCTGAATAGATGTGTTTAAGTATTGAAAAAAAAACAAGAAGTTTATTTTAAGATGTTTTATAAAATTCTCGCATTAGTGATTTGTGAAACTGCTATAAAACATGTTTATACTTGAGTGTGTGCTTTTATTAGAAAAAAAAAGTAGGTCATAATGTATTCAATTGATCTTTAATAATTATAAGAATTCTGTTTGTTTTCATATTTGTCATTAAATGCTTTTGTACGATTTTCTTTTGAAATACTCAAACTTTTTATTGTTACATCTTTTCCAGATATTCAATCGTTAATTTTATAAGTTTTAAGCCTTTATTGATGTATTGTATATAGATAGGTTTTTGAATAGACTAAAGATAAATTTTAATACATATGTATACATGTAAATTTTCATTCTGATATAAGAGCGTATTAGCTAGCTGTAATATTCTTATGTAAAGACATTTGTATGCCGATAATGTTGATATTATGTCTTCAAATTCTTTAACTTCGAACAATGTTTTTGGTAAATGACAAGCCGGATACAAGTTTTTTTTACTATGCACTTTTGTGGTTTGACGACAGATTTATTCTTCTTGTGATAGCGAAATGTATCTGAATAATAGATAATTTCATGTGCTTTCAGAATATATATGTACTTTTGTAATAGCTTGTTTTTTTTGTAGTAGTATAAATTTTGAAAACAAAAGAATAAAAAATGCATTTCCGGAGAATGTGACGAGGAGGATGCCTTCGCTATGCTTGCATTTCTATTTTAGCGAATGAGTGCAATTCACCGAATGTATATCTAGGGTTATAAAGGATTTCATATACTATCAGAACATATAATTACTTTTGTAAGAATATTAATTTATAGCGATAATATGTTAAAAATATTAAGTCTAGCTATTTATTTCAGAGCGATGCCTGAAGTTGTATTTTATGTAAGATACAAGTATTATTATTTATGAAACTTCAGCATCCCATCTCATATGTAGATATGCTTAAATCTTATGAAAAAAGTTTATAAAAAAAAGAACAGATCCGAATATCTTTCTAGTAAAAATGAATACATTATTTCTCAAGGTGAACTCGTTTCTATTATTGATAGAATGTGTTTTTGATGTGAAAGAAGACATTCTAAAAGAATGACTTTAGAACATATTTTATTTTTTGAAAAACGCGTTCTTAATCGTTCTTTTTTTAGTAAACTTTTTTTTTTTGATGGAATAGCATAGAATTCTACAAATATTTTTCATTTTCTTCTATTTGATAAAATGTTCTAATCGTTGAAGGATTCGATATTTCAAGAAAAGGAAACAAAAATCGATATTAAAAATAAATATTTATCATATCACCGTCACTATAAATTTCGTAAATAATCATCTTCTAATCAATTATATATGTGGTACACATAATTATTATAAAACACAATCTGACAGAAGTGTTGAAGTAAAGGCGTAATAATTTGTCCCTCCCCTCTCTTTCACACACCCATAAGTTCAAGAGCAAAGTCTCCTACAGCATTAGTATAATAATTATCTTTTCTTTCACACTCACTGGAAGATAATATAATTAATACCTTTCAGCATCAACATGCATTAATAGTAAATATGAATTTATAAAGTGAAACTTATTTTGATTAATTCTGTCTTTCACATCATCAGCAGTTTCATTATGTTTTACATTTTAATCTCGCAGAGATTGTGCTAACAGCTTTTTGTTTTTATATATTGCTATTTCTGTTTATTATTCTTCTAAATAAAAGCAAAAGATAAGTAGAAATAGGAAGTTCATGGAGTATATGACAGATAGTATGTTTTTTTAAATGTTTACAATTAACTAAGAGATGTGAATGGTTTCTTTTTTTTTTTTTTTGAGAGAAAAAAAATTTGTTATTTACAAATTACATATTCATTTTATAATGGGTTGTTCATCATCGAAAAATGTTACATCTGATGTTATATCTAAACATTTTTCATTAAATAATGAAGAACCATTATTAATGACGAAAACTATTCCACAATCAACACGTCATCTTGAAAATTATCTTATTATTTGGCTTTATGATGAAACTTCAAATAAATTTGAAAATGAAATAAAACAATTACAAAAACTTGTTCATGGTGTAAAAACATTTAATAATATTGATGCATGTATTAGTTTTATTGATGATATTGAAGATGAAAAAATATTTCTTATTATATCTGGAATATATCGAACATTCGAACGTTTTCAGCATTTATCACAACTCGAAAAATTATATATATTCGATCCTTCTTATAAACGAAATGATGAGAAATATCAAAATGATATTATTCAAAATATTGATAATCTTTATAAACAATTACAAGAAAATATAAAATTATGTGAAATGGATTTTATATCTATTACTATTGTATCTATATCATTAGAAGAAATTTCATGGTCATCAAAATTAACAAAACAACAAGCATCATTTCTTTTTACACAAATGATGAAAGAAATTTTTGCTCGTGTTAAATTTGATAGTTGTTCTAAAGATGTTTTTATCGATTTTTGTCGATTACATTATATGAATAATAATGAACAATTAAATATAATTGATGAATTTGCAAAAAATTATCGTCCAAATAAAGCTCTTTGGTGGTTAACAAATCAATGTTTTCTTTCAAAAATATTGAATCATGCACAACGTACACATGAAATTGATATTATTTATAAACTTGGTTTTTTTATTAAACAAGCAAATATACAACTTAATCATTTACATGATGAGAATGTATTATTAATGGAAACAATTTCTATTGTATATCGTGGTAAAACAATGTCATCTATCGAATTTGATACTACAATAAAGAATAATTGTGGTGGTTTTCTTGCATTTACAAATTTTCTTATCGCTACTACTAATAAAAAAGTTGCTATTGATTTTATTGATCGTCGACTTGCTATGCATCCTAATATGACAGGTATTCTTTTCGAAATAGATATCGATCAGACAGTATTTAATGAAAAAAATCCATTTGCCTTAATCAAAGATACAGATATGAACAAAAATGAAATTTGTTTTTATATGAGTACTGTGTTTCGTATTGAATCTGTTGAACAAACTATGAATGATACAAAGATAATATGGTTCGTTAAATTAAAATTAATTGATGATAATAATCAACAATTACTTCATATTGTAGCATCTACTCGAAATGAAGATATACATTCTAATCCAGGTTATTGTTTGGGTAAATTATTTATGGACATGGGAGAATATAAACGTGCTGAACAATTTCTTCTCGATTTATTACAAGATTCTACTGTTTGTAGTCAACCTCGACGTCTTGCACGTGTACATAATGGTCTCGCTGCTATTTATACATATAATAATAAATATGTCAAAGCCTTAGATCATTATCAATTAGCACTTGAAACGAGCTTGACTTATCTACCATCTAATCATCCAGATCTTGTACCTATATACAAAGCAATCGGTGATACTTATTTAAATCAAAAAGACTATATTCATGCTTTAAAAAACTATGAGAAAGCAATAGAATTGTTGAAACAAGGCACGTCACAAGTTAATACTGAGATTATTACTAATCTACATATTTGTATTAACAAGACAAAACAATTGATTGAGAGTAATAAATAACTTTGTTGTATTTATTAACATTGTCGAATGATTATATATAAACCTTCTTACAGAATAAAAGCACAGTCTATCCAAACGAACGTGAAATAGCAATGTAAATCATCAAGTAGATTAGTTCATTGCTTTTCGTTGTTTAGTTGTGATCTTTTTGGTGTATCTATAATTTCATTTTTTTTTCCACTAACGAATAAATAAGTTTCTTTCTTGAGCCGAAAGATGTGTACGTATGAACATTAATGAGAGGCAACTGCTCAGGAGCAAGGCATACTTTAATAACATTCCATAATCGGATAATACACAGTTTAGACACAAAATTATGTACATTTTTATTAACATGATAAAAATATGAACAATTCTTCCAACTGAAAAAAAAATGAGACATATCACATAGTTGAATGATGATCGATTGAAATACTCGTAAGATCTGAACTACCTATTTTATGAAAATGAGAAATTCTTATTTGATAGTGAAATGTTTACTTTATACATCTTTCGAGATAATTAAAATATATTTCCTTGCATTTCTAAATTATACATAAGCTTCTAAGAGATGACATTATCTGACAGAACTATATAGAAGTATTTTTTTTAACTCTTCGAAAACTCAATAGTTTCTCAAACCAAAATATCACAATAAGTGTGGTTTAAAGTATCGATATTAAGATTCACCCAGTGCTGATAATAGATGAATGTGTGAATTGGAAAAGCATAATAGTCAATTTTTGGTTCATCGATAACTGTGAAAGTTTTTAGATGGTTTGAAAGCTTGAATTTATGGAATCTTGTGTAGTTCTGTGTTTGTAAGCGAATCAAACCATAGTTCCAACACAAAAAAAGTTGATCATAACAATAATCTACGGAGGGTTTAATAAAAAGGAAATTTTGTGCACATATTACAAAAAATGAAATGACGAATTTGTTTAATTCATTTTTTAATAAAAGTTTATTCAATTATTCAATATTCTGGTTTTTTTATATGATTGTATCACTTTGTCAGCGTATAATATTTGTTGCTTGTCATCATGTCTTTTAGTGAAGTGTCGCTTTTTTAAAATGTACTTGCGATCGTAGCTTCTTAAAAGACATACTTTCGAATAAAGATTCAGCTACATAAATAAATCATCTTAGTTATTTAAAATATAGCGCTTTTACAACATTACCATAGCTATTTTATTTAGCTAGCTATTTAAATTTAGTGCTTATAAAATAAAATCATTGCAATTCAAAGACTCCTGATCATTATTAACATAAAATGCATAGTTGCTAAATGATTTAAATACCTATTGTTTGTTTTTTGTCTCTGTACTTCTATGCATTTTCTTTTTATTTACGTAAATAGTTAAAACAAGTTTCATGTAACCAATGGGTTTCAGAAAAGAATTTAAAATAAATTTCATTTTTGATATTTGAAAACGTAAACATAGTAAATTGTTTGATTTTTTTATTAGTAGAATAATTATTATTTTGTTTTGAAGAAGTGCATGTTGATCGATTGAATATAACTATTTACATTATCGTTTGAAGATTAATTTGAATTCAACTTTTTGTTAGATGGGGTTCTATAGAAGAACAACGGTTAGCACTAATAAAAAAATACCTTCTACTAACATTATAAGTTTGTGCTCAACCATACGCTTTTCTTAACTCGAACAAAATAAATACGATATACTAAACAATATAACAAAAATCTTTTAAAAACAATAATCGAGTGTGGATGTGAGCGTTGATCTTCTCGTCACTCACACCCTTAACTAACATTATGTGGACGTCAGTGGGAGCGATCTCTTGTATTTACCATAGACTAGTCCAATTAACAACCGATGTATCTCAACCATGGAGAGTAAGATTCTTGTCGGTTAAATAGACTCGATCAGAGCTGACAACAGGCCAAACTAAAGATCAAAGAGCTGCCTGCAGGTTAAACCAGATCGAACAATGTTCTGTTTTTTTTCAGATTCATTACATTTTTCACTCTACTTTAATTCATGATATTGGTTTCAATTAATTATTTAATTTGTTTTCATAAGGATAATAGAATAGCAGGGTGTAAGTGTGGATGAAGAGAGGATCAACTCCTACACCCCACACACACACACACACTCACACTCAAGAAATTTGCGTTTTTGAATTCATTTTCTTGACTTGTGTAAGAAATGTTAAGCAAAACTCTTCAAAGTTTCTTTTCTTCATCTTCTTGACTTACACGATCAAATTCTACCTTGTAGAATAGTAAGAAAGCAGTGATAAGAATGATACAATAATAGAAGAACACCTCACATTAACAAACTTCTTGGCCTCATTTTTATTCTAACTTCATTTTTTACTTCTTATCTCATTTTTTTTTGCTTCTTT